TATTTGACTCATCTTTGTTACGAATCGAGCTTGGGACGAGCCACCTGGTGGACGATGGCGCAACTTGCGACTTCGACTGTTCCTGGGTCATCTCCGAGCCGTATCGACACCGGCACGTGCTCGTCGACAACGAGAGTGCTCGCTCCGTTGGTTTTGGGGCCGTACATAAATGACGTCACGCACCTGGGGGGGGGGGTCAGACATTTGTGACGATGTGTGACGAGGGGGGCGGGGGGTTGAGAAATGTGACGTCACATCAAAATGCGCAACTTTAAATAAATATAGACAACACGTTCTACTTAATTAAATCGACTTTTTAATAAATGTTTTCTCCTACAAAATCAGAATGCAGCGCCACATTAAATACGCACTACAATGACAATAGTTTAAAGCGATTTGAAGCATGTTTTTTTGGGGGGGGGGGGAGGGCAGAGCTTTGTGACGTCATATTTGAGGGGGGGGTCTGACTTTTGTGACGCCGTGTGACGGGGGGAGGGGGTGTCAAAAATCGTCCAAAATCGCGTGACGTCATTTATGGACGGCCCCTTTCTCGACCGGCGTTGTGCGTGAGAAACGGGAACCAGTCGCAGGCGCGGTCAACGTTGGCTCTGACTGCCCCATCGACCCCTCTCCATTCTTTGATATTCTGGTCCCCACGGCGCCTGGGCCCCATATCTCAGTGTAGTTGCACCGCCTGCACACTCGGTATTCCACGCCGCCGTCTTGCGCCTCGGTGTGTGGTGTCTACAATTGCGGCGCCTCTTTCATACTCTTAGTTCTTTCGGTAAAGTCACGTAGGTAAAAAATGAAATAAAAATTAATTAAAATAAAACAATAAAAAAAATCGCCTCTTTCACTTTGGGAGGGAAGTCCGTTGTCCGACAGCTCGAGTGCCAACCCACCCAGCCCACAGCGACCGCTGTCGCGCTCGTGTTACTCTCGTTAGTTTGCTGATCCGACACATTTGGCAGCGTTCGTGGAGTCATTCGCGACAGCAGCAGGCAAGCACGCATCTCTCGGTTGCTCGTGTAAAGGCACCGGGCCAACATGCCCGACCAGTCGCGTGTGGTTTTTAAATCCTTTATATTAAGTTCACTTGCTTGCTTGCTTGCGCGCTTACGACCGTGCAAATCTTTCGGTCGTTTTTTAACCCACTTCCCGTGATCCAATCGAGCTGACATTTTGCACACAGACTCGTTGTGCGTGACAATTTATTTTCGTGAATTTTTTTTTCCATTACTTTACACTTTTTAGGAATTTTTTTATATTTAATTACCAATTGCTTAATGGCGGCAGGCAATCATCTGACCCATAGGTGGCAGCCATCTCAAGCCAGAGGACGAGAGGACTCGCCACGCATATAAAGGATTTACAGTGAAAAACTTTGTTTTTACGGGTTAATTACGGGTTAATTTTTTTCCCTCCTGGCTGTCGCCCAAAACTCGTTCCACAGGTTAACCCCGCTAGCGACAACGACTACAGCCAAGAAGGCAATGGGGGTGCGAGCGGGAAGATGGAGCGATGGTGGCATGAGATGATAGTGTGCAGGAGCTCTGGTGGATTGTTACTTCGCGCTCTCACACCTTGAGCAGTGGATTGGCCGGGTAAAGGCGCACCCTTGCAATTGCTTATTCGTGCCACTGCCAACGAAAGGCCTCCCGTCAGAGGAAGTTCTAGAGACGTCCCCAAGAGCATATTTGGTCTACGCTTCCATGATGGCCAGAGGTGCTGGAAGAGGTGTGGACAGTGCCGGATTATCCTCGCAGCAAAAGTAGCTACGTATGCTATGGACCCCGCACTTTCAAGGGCCCCGCGCTAAATGCTTTCAAGCTATTAATTCCGGTTCGGTGATTCTGCACTTGCTCTATTACTATAGTACTATACTGCCTTTAACTTTTATGAACGACTGGGTGTTTAAGGTTAGCGATTTGTCGTATTATCTGGTTGTATAGCAAATGAAAAAATACAATTTAATATGCAAGTTCAAATGTGTGTTTTAATATTAATTTTGAAATTTAGGGCCGCTTTAAAACATATGCTACAGGCCCCGCACTAGCTTAATCCGGTACTGAGTGTGGAGTACCCACACTTTATGCCACCACATGCGACCTGCTGGTTGACTTCTGTTTGGATAGACGGAGGTGGAGTGGAATTTGAAAAACGTGTCCATTGTGATAAGGGATAGCGAATAAAACCGGCTACGCGTAGGTTTCAAGCACAGTGTATGAAGCATTATATTAACATGCCAGCATCCATTATTCAGAGTACTTTACTCGATTTAAAACTTGAGTTGGCTAGTTGTGTTGCCTGTCAGTCAGTCACATTTGCGCAAATTCATTTTGATGGTGACCTAAGAATAGGATGACCACGATGCATTTCTACAGAAAATGATGATGGTTTTTACGTAATGCACAAATGACGAGTGGTTTTCTCGTGCACTTTTTGTGCATTCGAAACGTATCTCTATTGCACTCTCGCACAAGTGAGCGGTTAAAAAAAAATCGTACAACGGTAATGAGGCTGGGAGCAATGAAGTGGTTGAGGCACTGTATTGTATGCCCAGCTACCTCAATTCAATTATTGGCAGCCGTTACATCAGTGGCGTGTGCTATATGAACCCATCCTGGACATGTCCCCTTCACTGAGCTGCCCTGACCAGCATTATGAAGTATGGTCAAACAACTCCCATGGCCGATGCAGGATAGGAAGACGTTCATCAGTGAATTGACAAGAGAACTGGAAATTGCTCCGTATGCTGGTATTGTGTGCAAACAGTTGATGTTATCTATACTGTGGAAAAAAAGCTGTCTTGGGAACTACTGCTCCCAAAACCTAAACCCCAATTCCCAGCCCCTGGTAAACCATACCATGAATTTGGGCTCGTTAAGACCCTCATACCACCCTTTATACCATCTCTCAGTTAAGGTTTTAATGCAGTAATTACAAAACACAAATTCCCCAAAATGTAATTTGTTGTTGGACCAACATTCGTGCCCATGTATTGTTCACAATTGTTTATGTTTAACATTCATTGCATTCGTTTCCCTTAACGTCGGCATCAGAGCCGAAATCATGTTGCTTAAGGCACATCCCAGCATGGCCTCTCATCTAAGTGCAGGTTATTATCTCACACATACATGGATGGATGATTATCAATGTATATGTCTGCATTAGTTATCCAGGTAATAGCATCGGTTAATGGGCAGTTTTCCTCAATGCTTCAGAGTTCACAACAGCTTACGACTATGTGGTCGGTGGTCTGGGGATATTCTTTCCACAACTGCACACTGAGCTGTCTTTGTATTTCCGTTTGTGAAAGTCGCGAGCGGATCTGTCGTGAGATGTGCAGATGTGATTTAACGTGAACCATTGTTTTAGAGGTACAGTATATTAAATCCCAGAGGTACATTACAAAATCCGCAATCGGGCGCTTGTTTTGGATATTGGTGTTCATCCAAATCTGTTGCTGTATAGATTTGGATTGACTTGTGTGATCAAACACTTAAGATACGTGAAAAACCTCCCTGTCGTAAGTGAAACGTGGGGTGCGATTCGCGGGGTTTGTGCTGGGCCATTTGAGGTTGGATGGGCGTCCCATCTTGGAAGGACTAATGGAAAAACACATGGATGAATGATCCACCTGGCTAAAATGGGGGCCACCACCATTAATTTAATTCTTTATTTTAAAGAGGTGATTCTTATTTCTAGGTACACGCTGGACAATGGGATTCTGACACCAGAGCAATGGTTTTATTGTCATCAAGGGTCTGGTGGCAGATGAATATCTGGAGCGATATAGGTTGTTACAATTGAGTAAAAGAATACTTCTAAAACATACCACTAACTGGACATGTATAATGCCACAAATGTATTCTATTGTATAAAATAAACACGAAATAGAAGGCATCAATTAAAATCGATTCATATGCTCAACACATTCCTGTGGAGGGAGCTGGTAGGAACGTTGGGTTGCTCGGTCAATGGCCAGGGTCAATGGCAGCGTGGTGTATTCCGCAAATGTGCGGGACCGTGAGGGTGGGCACAAGCCGGCGTGAGTAGGTTAAACGTTGAGTTTTATAAGGGCACCACGGGGTGACCAGCCCCTCCCCACCCAGCCCCACCCCTCCCACCCCCCACCCAGCCCCACCCTCCCCACCCAGCCCCTCCCCACCCTCGCCTCCCTACCCAGCCCCTCCCCACCCAGCCCCACCCAGCCCCTCCCCACCCTCCTCTCTCCACTCAGCCCCACCCCTCCCATTTTTGGATGCACGACGGAAGGACGGACACAATAATCCCCTGTGGGCTGGTGGAACCAGGTGGTTCCTACCAGTAAAAAGCATCGTGTGTCCCTTATTTGGGGGGTGGCCAAAGTGGCTTTGAGGTCAGAGCCACTTAGCCGCCGTCACTAAAATCCAGGCAGCTGCCTGTGATGTAGACGAGTCGGCACGTGTAGCAATGGTCTAAACAAAACCCATTCAACTTCGTATTTCACTTCATTTTGACAAAATTGCGTGAGTTTCGGTCCTCTGTTGTGGGGTTGGTGGGAATGTGCTGCCCCCTAGTGTGGATCAGAGGATAACTTGAAGGGATCTCAAAAGTCGTTATGTGAATGTCTTGCTTCTGTTATCTAACACTGGTTGGTTACACTGCCATGCAAGAGTTATGAATGCATCCTTTGCTGCGGCGACGTAACACCAATCGCGCAATTGAAATGAAATGCGGAGAAAACACTAAAACATTTTAAGACGGAAAACGTTGCCTTGATTATGTCTATATTTGAAGCTGAGGGCAATTTGCCCGTTGATTGCATTTGCATTCATCATGTCCAAGTAGTGCATTTGAATCGCACGTTAAACATTTAAATTAATGAAAAGCAGATGCTCCTCATGCGAGGCAAAACATTGCATTGTAACTCGAGAGAGAGAACGGCTCGTTGTGGTTTCATTCTGCCAACCCCTGGCACACAAAATCCCTGTGGTGCCATTGCCCCACTCCTTCCCATGTTGCCTCTGCAGATCCTGCAGTACGTGGAGTGCTTCGCGGGCCCGGACATCACGGCTATTCACAGCATGCTCATCAACAAGCCGCCCGACACTGGGTAGCTTTACCCCTCGTCTTTAATCCCCTCTCTAAACATTGAAAAATAATGTTTTGTTGGTGCTCGTCTACATCCACTAAATGAAGTTACAATTTGATAATTGTTTTTTACCCTTTTATCTGGCAACGAAACTGACACCTTTTTTTACAAGGAGTCATGTTTGCATTGATATACACCAATGGATTCTGTTTCCCTGTTCTCTGCAGACAAGGTAGCACCAATTCAGCATGTTTACTGCATGGTGGCCAATCATCCAAGCAACTATCCAGGATCGATAACTGCTTGGCTTCCGAAATGACAATAACGGGATAAATTGGTAAATTGGCGTTGTAGAAATGTTTGGGCGATTTGATTAATGGGTGATTGTCAGATAATTGTTACACACCTAATAATGAATGTAGGTTTCAGACGCTAAATTGGGTTGTTTGGCCAATTGCACTCATTAGAGAACCTTTAGAAAACCGAGCACAAATGTGGTGCAGCAGAAGCCGAGTATAAGCACACCCCTTGTAAGCAAGTGCTGGCGAGATATCCGTGGTATCCTATATCAGCGCCACGGTGGCGAGACGTTAACTACCTCGCCTGGTATGCAGGTCGTGGATTCGATCCTGACCCTGACGCCTGTACATTTGGAGTTTGACTGTACACCCTGTTGTCGCGTGGATTTTACTGCAGGTCCCCCGGTTTTTTCCTCCACATTGAGAAACATGCGTTTAGAGTATTTGCCTGCTATACATTTCGACATAAGCCACTTCCTTGAGCTATCATTTGTGACCAGATCGCTTTTGAAACAATTGAGTACTCAAATTGTAAATGTTGTGCATCCACTCTTCAACACACCAGTGCGCTAAAGTAGTGAAATGTTTCTCTTGTCAACGTGACACATTTTTTTACTGATTGGCCGTGTCGGGTGGTGGAGGGTTGCGACGCATTTATAGATAATGCAATCTAACCCAAAAACCTTTATTATGAATAATACCGGTCGCGAAAGCCTACTACGTGTTAAATCTGGTATTGTATCAGAACCGTGCTTAAACAAGTTTGCTTACACCCATCCAGCTTACACCAGATAGATACACACCGCCTCGTGTCCTCCACTATGAGGTCGGTCTCTCCGTGTCTCTGCAGGCCTGATGACCTCGCGCCATCCGCTGCACCAGGCTCTGCACTTATTCCCTTTCGAGCCTGCGGACCGCATCGTGTGCGCCTGGACCGCCATGCAGCACATCGACCTAGAGAACGACACCCTGGTGGTCCTCCCCGGCACGCACAAGGGAGACCTCAAGCCTCACGCGTACCCAGAGTGGGAGGTGGGAGAGGTTGCCGCGTCCGTCCGCTGTTGGGAGCAATTTTATTTCCCCAGAAAACAAACAGTTGACACCGTTTTATTATCCATTGATAACAATTCAATGTCATCAGCCACGATGTCAGCTGCTGTATGAAGGCATCCCCGACTCGTTGCTGTCTCTCACGGTCATCGGCTGCTGTACACGAGCTTGACTTCCATTGCTCTATCTCTGCGGTGAAAGAGGTCACAAATAGACGATCTCTCCAAGGTGAGGGGCAAATCCGAGTTAACACAAACCAGGCAATGTCCGTGCGTCCGTGTGCAGGGAGGTGTGAACAAGCTGTATCATGCGGTGCGTGACTTTGATCCAGCGACCCCACGCTTTCACCTGACGATGGAAAAGGGCGACACCGTGTGCTTTCACCCTTTGCTTATCCATGGCTCCGGAATTAATCGCACCGACGGTTTCCGCAAGGTGCGTCCGCCTTTGCTGATGGGTGTGTGCGTACGTGATGATCGACTGCCGATAGATTGTCAGCTTTCCACAGCTGTAATACGAGCAATAAATTTTCGTTTCACAGCCCTGTGTTAATCCACGTAAATTAATGTTTGTGAGAATCGCAATAATTTCCACTGGGTAGGGGTAATGCCAAAGCAAATACTTAGGTGCCATGAGGAGTCAATTTTTTTTTAGCGAGTTCACTTTTTTTTACAAACCACATTTATCAAATTATTGGTTCTTTCGGTAAAGTCACGTAGAAGGGAAATAATAAAAATAAAACAATAAATTCTCACGACGTTTCGATTGCAACACAAGCAATTATCATCAGGTGTGAAACCCACAGCAAGAACATTTGATTGCTTGTGTTGCAATCGAAACGTCGTGAGAATTTTATTGTTTTATTTTTATTATTTCCCTTCTACGTAACTTTACCGAAACATCCAAGAATATGAATCCCCGCAGTCACAAAATCTTTAAATCGAAACCACATTTATCAAATCAAGAGAACACAATATAGAAGGAAGAGACCGGCACATAGTGCCCTCCTCAAAAGTCTGCAACATGTTAGTGGCCATTGAGAAATATATTGCCATAGGTAACTTCATTGGACGGCGACATAAACTATCAAAAACGTTTCTCAGAGATCTGATTTATAATTTCCCTGCATTAACATTTGTTCATGGCTTCGTGTCTGCCTTCAGGCCATCTCCTGTCACTGTGAGCGGCCAATGTCATTACGTTGATGTGAAGGGCACAAGTCGGGAGAACACCGAGGAGGAGATCATTGGCTCGTATCGCCATAACTTTGACAAAGATGCTAAGCCCTCACTCTTGTAAGTTTCCATTTATACTTGGATTTTTCTGTATTGCTGATGCTTCTTCCTGATGAAAAATATGGATTTATAGAGCATCTAAATGCAAAAGTATCTCAAGATGCTGCACAGAAACAGTTGGCATATATGTTTGAATAGGCAGTGAGATATAGGCGAAAAAAAGGCTTTGAACATGGAATTGAATAGTAGCAGGGAGTTGACAGTATGGATGGCGAGGGGAAGGCAGTTTGAGACTGTGGCTCAGCAGGTGATGTTATCTCCCTTTCCAGGTATGCTTGTGGGGGATACCTGTTTGTATATTTGTCGTCGGATGGATTTTTATCCGGGTCCTCCGGTTTTCCCCTCCATATTTAGAAACATGCATTTAAATTTAGATTATTTGGCTGCTATAAATGTCCACGTGATAAGCCACTTTGTTGAGCTATCATATGTGGCCAAGTAGCTACTGAAAAATTATCTAAAAGCTCAGTGGGCTTTACCTGGTAAAATAAAAAGTTTAGTTTAACTTTTTTTGTGATCTGCTTACCTTTCCTATACTTTTCACTCCTATCGTGTTTTTGTATTGATTGTTGTAACTTTCTGACCTGCCCCGACTGGACATCTGTGAAAAAGAGGTTTATAGATTATTGGATTCCTCCAGTATAAAGATTCTGATTCTGATATGACCTTTATAAGCCAGGTATGATCCCAGAGATCAGGTGTTTTATTTTAAAAGAGAAACCTGGGTGAATATCGGCCACCACAATCTGTTGTGAACTCTTTAAGGGGTAGTAAAAAGGTCAAAACGAATCCATAGTTCATATTACGATGCATAAGATGTTTAGAGATTATGTTAATTTAAATTGTTATTGTGCATGCTCATCAAGTTTTGATGCACAGTGATAAAACGAACGTGTGACCATAATAAGTGCAACTGCCTATGGTGTGGCGCTGGAAGGCAGGGTTGGTAAAGGGGAGGATGCTGCAACTGTGACGTTGCGAGCAGCCCCTCCTTGCTTTGGCGTCTTTTTTCAACGGTTTTACTTAACTTGATTCCTGTTTGTCTGGGTCAAATCTTGTAATCAAAATTTCGTCCACTTCCCGTTGTTCAACCAATTTAACATTCTGCACACGTACTCAGATCCGGTGACAATGCATGCCTGTATCAAAATCGGCATAAATTCATGATATTCATCAATTAATTGCCTCCTTTAAAGCACTTACAATGTTTGTGTGGACGGCATATTAATTATATAATTTTGTGTCAGTGTAAAACGCCGCTGTCCCTAAACTGTGGAATTGGCTCGCACAAGAAGCAGGTGCCGCGTGTCTCAGGCGCCATTGACATACTTCTCGATCATGAGTTAAACGAAGTTGTTAATAAAACCGTTGTTTTAAAAAAAATTTTTAAAGGAGTTTGTTTTACCTTCCCCTTAATCCATACCACTATCCCACAGCCCACAGCCCAGCAAAGCAGCCAAGGTCATTGTCCACATTTGTGAACATATTGTAGTTCATACACATGCCAATATCTTCTTTCCTTGGCAGCTTGATATATTCATCAAAATTCGGGGGTGGAGGTTAATTGACTAGTTGTTTCTCTTGCCATTGTGGTACATGTGTGTGTGAACTAGTACTTCCACACACCCCTTCATGCTACACCCCATATCAGGGGTGGGAATCATATGGCTCCCGTGCTGTATCCAGCATCCAGTCATGAGCCCTACTGCTTTGAGTCATCATGCACACAAGAAGAATTCTGCACTGAAAGTCTTTGACATTATTTGGGTACTAAAAGGGGCATACAATCGAACCTTGAAACTTGTGTTTCTAATTGTAGTGCACTCGGTCACCTGTTGTCTCCCAATTGGTTATGAGAATGTATTCAGTCCGAGCATGATCCAGAGTTTTTATATCAACTAATGAGCCGTCTGAATGGATGCATCTTTACCTCCATGCTTCATCATTATTAAACTAACGTTTTATCATCATCCTTGTTCAACCACTAGTGGATACAAGGCCTCCCTAAGTTTCAAGTCTATTTTGGATAACCAGGTGAGAACTCAATAGACCAGAGTAGTCTAATTAGCAAGTTTGGCCCAGGTGACCACCAAAGACAAAAGCAATCACTAAAAAACCCAAGTACAATGGAAACTACAAATAGAGAAAAAACATAAATTGGAGCAAAGGCAAATACGTTGGAAAAGAAATTGAAAACGGTGCAAAAATACTAATCAATATTAAATAATGTGACTTGCATGTCTTGTTATGAAAGTTTCGCTGAAAATTATTTTAGGAAAACCATAAACTCACAGCGGTCCCTGTGAAAGATGTTGCCATCCCGACCTGCAATCGAGCTGAGAAATTCGTGAGATCGACTCCGAGTCAGTCACTCCGCTTCCGGTCACGAAACTTCCAGATGCGGAATTAAATGCAAATGAACACATTTCATCGTGAGCTGATAAAAAAAAACTACATCATCCAAATCAAGAGCACTTTAAACTTTCAGATGCGGAATTAAACGCAACTGAACACATTTCATCGTGAGCTTATAAAAAAAAACTACATCGCCCAGATTAAGAGCACTTTAAACACCACTCTTTCACATCAAAATGAGACGTGATAAATAAGGAGACAAGAGAATTGATTGGATTGCATTTTCTTTCCAGAAATAAAAATACACTGAAAGCAGTTCTTAACATCGCATGAAGCACATCATTCCACACATTTTGCATATCACCCTTAAAACCAAACCCCAACAAAAGAATTAACATTTTAGGACAATAATCATAAATGAGCGTTCATTAAACATGAGCGCCCATCTATGATTGACAATAAATGCTTATTTGGCTTTAGGCATAAACCATGAGATAAATGTTGAGATGCCTCACAGATGCAACAACTCGTTCTTGGATTTTTGTTTTTACTATATACACGGTGGATGCTTGAGCACTGAACTGTTGCTGTACCATTCCTACGAGTGAAGAGAAAGAGAGAATATGCTACTCGTGTCAGCGCAAAAGGATATGCTTTCTGTTGATAGTCGTGCTACAAATAATTGTGTACTGAGGACTTTTTGCAGCGTTCATAAAGAAAACAGGTGAACCTATCACTGTGCATGATACTATGCATATTAAATTAAAATGTCTTTACTCGTTAAAAAAAAGGCACAATTAACTTTAGTTTTATAGATCTGCAACAGTAAAGTCACTTTGATCAGTGCATATGCATATTAAAGATGTTACTGTCAGGGACATTTAGTTTTTGAAACACCTGCACATGTTTGAGCATGGACATTTCAGAAAAAAATGCATGGTCTTCCCCCCTCCATTTGGGAGACCCGGAGCACAAGACGAAACAAATTCAGCTTGCGAGGCCACAGCATATTAAAAAAAAAATGAACAAAAGTTAAGACTGAAAAGGACCTGTGCAACATTTCACTGTATCGTTCGTAATATATTTCCTTGCAAAGTTAATTGACACATGCCCTGAAAAATGTATGCCTACCAAATCCTGCGAATGAATGGTATGTAAGTGTTTCAACACACCAGTTTTGATAAGCTTAAAGAACAGTTGTACACTTCGTGAACGCAAAAAGGATGTTATACGTTTCAACGTATCGTTATTGGCTTTATGTCACCAACAACTGTAATGTTGGGCAAACAAAAAGCCATTCGGTTTCAATCTGATTGCCACACATCATCCAAAACAACAACAAATAAATGAAAGCGTGAACATGATAATCCACAATCTGTGTTCAACGGGGAAAAGTGACCCCTGAAAAGACACGGGGAGGCTTTAACAAATTAATGAGGCATTGCGGAAGTGAACTAAAGCAGTAGCAAAAAAGGCAGTCAGAACAATAATAAATCCAATCGATGCAACGTTGCTTTGCTTGGAAGAGGATAGCGTGCATCATTATTCCTGAGGAAGGACCACATTTCTGGTGGACTTTATCTTCTCCAGCCGCTTTGTAAGCTGACTATTGGTGATCTCCAGCTCTTCCACACGGTCCTGTGCTGACCTCAGCTGCAAAGAAAACAGTGGCAAGTATAAGCACAGATGGTGTGCCGATAACACACACTCATGTGCAAATGCTCATCCCCCCACCAATCCCTACCACCACTATGAACACCATTAACACCACCACAGCCATCCTCCTCCAACAGCAATATCTTATCTGTACATTTCCCTTACCTCTCTTTGCAGTTTACGCTTTTCTGCTTTAAGCTCATCTTCAACTTTCTCTGCATTCTCCGAAGCAGTTTTGTAACGTGCAACTTGACCTTCCAGGCGAGCTATCTGCACACACAGATGCGCATGTGTGCACGTCTCTGTTTAAAATCTGGTGTTAGGCACTTGAGTTCACACAAAAAGCAAAACGAAAAAACACTTCAACTTGAAAAGATGGGCCAAAACAATGCGAAAGCTTACACTTTGTTCCAATGCTGTGATGTCCTGTTCCGCTTTTGAAAGCTTAAACTTGTGCTCACTGAGTTGTCTAGTTACATCTCCTGAGGAAAAACAAAGACAACACGCACCATGCAGTCACATAATGAAACCTAATGCAATACACACTCCTCTATAATGCTACCAAAAAGGCCCAAGTTGATTAGATTGCCATTACATATGTAGATAAAATATCCAGAGCTGGATGAGTGCCTCCTCACGTGCTGAATATTGTGGGATGGTGAAGTCAGCACAGATAGGGAACAAAAGATCTATAGCACAACAATCGATGCTGCTGCACTGCCATCTACTGCCCACTACACCCCACAAGCCCAATGACAACCTGTTCGTGCATGGTCCATTACCCATCCAAGCACTATCCAGGCTTAATCACACTGAACTTCTGGGATATGATGAGAACAAGTGCATTCAGGGTGACTTGATCATAGATAACATACTGGCAGTATAAAATGTAGTTACATATTAAATGCTTTATAAATTCTGGATGTCAGAAGAATTGTAGCTCGTTTTAACAAATGCCAAGATCAGCATGGTTTATTTTAAAATGTTTTTGTGTGATGTGAAAATTTGGTTCATTCCACAGGCATCAAATAAACTTATCTTGCAAATGATGTCTGGAGCATTAACATTTACTATTAACCCTTTCCCGTTGAGATGTCTGCAAGCTATAGGGTGGGTCCTGTTCACCACTGAATCTTTAAATGCGCAAGCGGTTAGGATACATTTTATTTGGAGAGACATAGCGCCATTGTTTTTAAATACATTGTACTCACTGCAGATAACTGTAGGGACACAACCACACCCCATGATAGCTGGCACCAAACTGTGTTACATGCCTTCCCACATGGCCTTGTGGGAGCCTTGGTACCGATAAAGTTATTTTAGTTTTTTCTTCTGTATACGTACGTCATCGGAATGGAAAAGGCTTATGTAAACAGCATGCAGTGGTAACGTTCTCATTACCAGATGGCTGTATATGCTTGGTAAAAAGTGAGCTGTATTAAATACAAATATGTTAAACAAGAAATGTGTTTTTTTCTTCTTGGTTCTTTCGGTAAAGTCACGTAGAAATGTGTTTATTAAGTAATACCGTACTTTTGGCCGTGAAACCATGAAGGAGTCGTGTGCTTACTTTGTGTCTCGATACCATCCATGCCGTTTTCTGTGGGGTCGCTATCCGATTTTCCCGATTTCTGTTTGGTTTCTTCCAGCTGAATCTTCAGGCTCTTCACCTGTGCCACAGGAAATATTCACATAGAACCAAAATTGAAACAATTACTACATTTCCCAAAAAGTACACTAAAAAAACAAATGAAATGACATCTGAAGCAATGCGATATTAAGTAGAGCAACATCTTCAGACTCGGAAATTGGACTTAAATTCCCGATCACAGCTAACATCAATGGTGTATAGTATTTAGATTTGTTCTGGGTCTCCCACTTCATCAACGCGTACCGACCAGTGTGGTGAAGTATGGTCAAATGACACACATTACTGACACCTCGTGGGAAGGTCTTCGTGCAGCAGTGGATGGATAGGGGATGCAAGTAATATATACCGGTAGGAACCTCTTGGTTACACCAGCCCACAGGGGATTATTGTGTCCGTCCGTCTGTCGTGCAGGGAGGGGCTGGGTGGGGAGGGGCTGGGTGGGGAGGGTGGGGCTGTGTGGGGGGTGGGAGGGGTGGGGCTGGGTGGGGAGGGGCTGGTCACCCCGTGGTGCCCTTATAAAACTCAACGTTTAACCTACTCACGCCGGCTTGTGCCCGCCCTCACAGTCGGCCATATTTGCGGAATACACCACGCCGCCGTTGACCCTGACCATTGACGGAGCAACCCAACGTTCCTACCAGCTCCCTCTGCAGGAATGTGTTACTTCACATCTTCAGTGTGTGTAGCCTGGGAATAGCAATCACCTGCTCTACAAGTGATTCCTTGTCTTCAACCAGCCTCTTCAACCTTATGTCTGAATAGGAGAAATCAAATCCACAACAATACTTGAATGTACGATTTTGAGTAGCGTATGTTAACACAGCTATAATTGCACGCACACACACACGAATGAATGTGAACCATATAAAGCATAAATATACTAAACGGATGAAAGCTGGTGAATACGTACTATTTTTCCAAAGACTCAGATCACCCTATATTTTGTCATCTGCTTAACTATTGCAAATATAATCTATAGTTCAACAAAGTTATCACTAAAATTCAGGATAGACCCAGCCTTTATTACTTGGCCACTAGATGGCATCAGTGTAGAACAAACCAGGCAATGATGTAAAGTTTACATTAAACTTTCAAATTGGGTGTGTCCAATTGGTGAGGGCTTCTTGGCAACTGAGGGGTATGGTCAACCACGTACAGTCCTTGACAGAAGTAAAAAAATAGACTTCCTTCAACTTGTTATCAACCAAACAGAAATATACTATGGCTTGTTAATATTTGCATTTCCTATGATCTTGCAATATTATTTGTCGTCTCATAAACTACTCTGATGTTACATTATAAGCTATATGCACAATATAAAATGTTGAGTTTGTCAATGCGACAATTTGATAAACATGGCTTGCCTTTCGTTAAGTTTAAAGTTATACATGGGACGTAAAGCACTTCATTTTGCTAACGTCAGTATTTAGTTAAAAGAAAAAAATATTACTTGAGAGTATGCCTTCAAGTTCACAATAACCTTTACAATGACGTAAACGAGCTGTAGAGATGTGCTTACTAACACACCCATCACCGCAACCAGACCACCTTTACCTGTTCGTCGAGAATGTTTTTTACATGTAAGTTTAAAGTAATTTCTTAAAATTACAGCACAGCAACAGTAATCACAACTGCAAGTACAAAAAATCACCAAAAAACAATATTATGAATGTCTTGAAGAACTGAAAACAAATTAAATGTGTATGTGGGGAGTTGTGAGCCAATTGTGAAAAATCCACATTACTAAGTTAAAAACACAAGCTATCCAAGGGATGACCACTCTTGCTGTTACACGCAACCTAAAATACGTGGCAACATCATCTTATTAAAAACTGTCAAATTGTATAATCTTTTAGCAAGAAATATAAACATTTGTAAATATCATGCACTAAATGAAGAGAAATATGGTGCATTTAATCCAACAGTACTGTAAAGTGAGTGGCCCTAATCCTTTTTAATTGAGCATGAATATCTTGAAAAAAAATTAAACAATTCAAATGTGCATGTCAGGAGATGTGAGTCTAGTGGACATCTGTGAAAAGGGCTTCATAGCTCATCGGATTCCTCTAGTCTCAATAAAGATTCTGATTCTGAGTAATAGTGGAGAAGAGCCGTGGGCGACGCATTGTGCACGTGTGCGGTAGCGTGGTGCGGGAGGAAGCGTTGGATTGTGGCATCGCGAGACCACGACGGGTGATAATGAGGATCACAATGTCGTGGTGGGGAGGCCTTAATCCAGCAGTGGGTAGAACACGACTGGGTGACAATGATGATGAGGCAATGTCACCAGGCAGCGAGTGGATCAAGATGACGTCTCACCAAGCGGCCCATCCCCCGCGCCCTCGAGCAGCTGTGCAGCCTGCCGCGACACCAGGGTCACCGCCCCGCCGCCGGCAAGCGGCTCCCCGTCCGGCCCCACCTCCCCGTTCACCTCCCCCTCCGGAACCATCACCAGCCCGTGCTTCTGCATGGCACAGGAAACGCCGCGGGCAAAGTCACGCAACCGTGCCCGCATTGCCAGCACACCACGTACGCACACGCACCACGGTGGCAAGATGCTCACTACCACGCCTGCTATACACAGGTCGTGGGTTCGATCACGACCCTGATGCCCTGTATCTGTATTGTATTGGGGGTTTGCGGTGTTTTTCTCCGCGTGGTCATGTGGATTTTTCTTCAGCTCCTCCAGTTTTTGCCTCCGCATTTAGAAACATGCGTTTCGAGTATCTTGCTGCTATACATTTACACATGATAAGCTACTTCGTTGAGCTATTAATTGTGGCCAGTTCGCTTCTGAAAAAGAGTAATATAGCTCAGTGGGCCTTAGCTGGTAAAATAAAAACAGTTTTAATACTTTTGCATGCTGCCAAACCTGTGGGCGGACCCAGTATGCCTTTGAGTTTAAACTCATGTTCAAACTTCGAATGACTTATGCCACAAATATGAAAAGTGGACTTTCTTTTCTTAACAAGATCATGAAGACAATGTGGTTGCAATGTAAAAACTATAATGCTGCATTGATTTAACGCATTTGAATGGTTCCTGTTACTAGACAATGTCACAACATTAGCATCTTCCAAATGTAATGCAGAAGAAGGTAAGTCACACTAGTATCTATTTACATCCATGCACTTCTAAGAGTGACATGTCTTTCATATATATTAATCCATTCAATTTCCCTTTTTTCGTATTATCTTGGTACAGGCGCTAACTTATGAAGTTTCCAGTCTAGTAATTTCCTTGCAGTCATTTGAATTAAACCATATTGGGAATCCCAGAAGACAATACATAACTTCTCCTGGTGCCACTTTAATAATATTATCTATAATCACCTTCAAGCTGTGTGGGGAATATTTTGCCACATTACTATCATACCATATCGATATGCTGCTACACATACTTCATTTGGTACTGGCAAAGGAGGTCCCATGATGAGATGCACATACAAACTTAGCCCTCAACTGAGGTACGCTAATACAAAGCAAATATACACAACCTATTTTGTACAGCCATTGGTGACTTGCGACAGAGTGAGACTCAATCTTGGGTCAGAGCCAACATTTTGAGTGTAGGATCCCAGCTGGTCTGGCTCTGACCACGATAAGACACGTGACCACCTTCTACATGTGGCACTCGTACAGATATACACCTGGGTTGTGCCGTTTCATCTACAGATGGGAGCCATCTAGGTATATTGGTCATAATAATGAGTAGAATAGTCACACATTTTACTTAAAACATTTGAACTGTACAGTGGCAAAAGAGTATTGAGGCAAGCATCCTGTTTGAATGCAGATTAACACAAGCTGGGTTGTATGTTATAATATGCACCGCTGCTCTGGTAGAATGGAAAGTCTAATCACTTCCTCTGCTGGTTGACGGAATCTTTGCCATTGACTTGTTTCATGTATATACTATATTCCACTAACAGTGCAGTCTCAAAGCAAGTTGAGTGCTCTCATACCTTTTTCAACTCTTCTTTAAGTTGAGTGACTTGTTGCCTGAGTTCATCTCTTTCATTCATGATACACTCAAAGTGTACCTTTTGCCTTTCAAGAGCCTGGCCCCCATTATGGGGAACAGGAGTTCCAAGAGTAGAAGAAAGGCAGCAGTGAGAAAAACAGACGAGAGCAATCCAGTTCAAAGGAGCGTACAGTTTAAACACAGTGCAAAGGACAGCAGGCAAAAGGGGGTAAAGTATGGTGCAGCTGTTACCTTTTCAAGAGTCCAGTAATAACTATGCATGCACAATTTGAATATGCATTACATTCTTGTCCAGTTTTACTTTCGTAGTTGCTTAAATATTGCTTAAAATGTAATGGTATCCTTACACACATTACTGGTGTATGTCCTTCCTACTTAATTTAAAGGTATGTGCTGTACACACACCGACATGTTCACATACCCCTATCTTCTTTTCTTTCCACCCAATTGCTTCCTGGAGATCATTTACCTCCCGCACATATGATTCTTCTTTACGCTGCAGTGTTTTAATTTCCTGAAAGCGTGAGAAGGCAGAGGAGAAAAAGCATTTGGTAGAAATGAAAGTAGAAATGGCAAAGGCCAAATGAGGAAGAATATCATATGCTAATTTTAACAGGTATGTCCTGTGTATTCTTTAAAAGGCTCAATGTCGTAAACTTACCAGCATGGACGCATCCAAGTTTGCAATTGAGGGCGCTGACCGCGGTGAATGTGATACCAACAAAAAATGCAACTTATCCAATTGCAAAACAAATAAACAATGATTTTACTTTTTTAAACATGGTTAGACCATGGGAGGATGTGCTCTTTCTCTAAAAAAAATATATTATTGCTTGGCACCCGACCTATATAGCAGTGGCTTGGCTATTATTGATCATTTGTCTTCCTACTGCTGGTACTCACATACAGCAGCTGTTTTACTTAATGGCGATATCAACCTGGGAGGCCCTAGCAATTAGTCACAGTACCAATTCGCCTTTGATGAATCCATTCAGATATCTTGCAGTGTGTCAGAAAATTGCTGTACAAGATATCTTTCACAGAATTTCTGAAAAATCCTTCACGTTTTTTTTTCATCCTTTACACAGCAGAGGTCATAATTTCCCATGTACCCTGTCATGAGATGGTTGAATGACCATAAAAAGATAACTTTTGATTTTTTTTGCGACTGTCAACTCAACTACACTTGAGGACCGAGCGAGAGTTTAATCACAGATGACTTTGTGGATTGAAACGGAGGTCCTCAAGAGTTGTCAGCCCAGCACTCTGACCTCTATTCCACACATGTACTTTAATTGAGAACAAGTCCATGCACCCGCAAGGCACATAACCCATATTTGCCATTGTGTATCGTACTCATTCAAATGGAGTGGAGTCATAGTCTACAGATATTAGATGGTGTCAACAAATGTATGTATCGATTATGACCACAAGCTATTTTTACAAGTTTCAAAATGTTCAACGTAAACAGCCGTTGACATAATTAGGTAATCAATGCACTCATTCATGTACTTCCACACGTTTTGTACACCAAATGCAGTGCACATACATGCATGCCACACAATACAAACATGATATTTCCATGCTCACTAGCGCTGGGTCGCCAATAGCACATGGATTGATGCTATGCTTGGCATTCACTAGGGTAACCTGGCAGACTACAGTAATTACAAACGCTTAACAAATCAATCACATATATGAGGTGATTATTTGCACATTTTAATTAACTTAATTCCTTGATGATTTTCAGGCATACCATCGAGATAGAATAATTAAATGTTAGCTATTGTGAGGTTTACTAATGACTGTAGAGGACATATCAAGGTCGCACAGGATAATGCAATGAAACATCTCTACCCATTCTGCTTTTCGGCAGGTTAGCCCAGTTATATGCTTTGGAATTTTCAGAAATTAGTATCTCGTGTATTGAAAATGTCAGTTATAATTTGTTTATATTACTATTTACGTAACTATATTCCCATATAACAAAACAATTGCAATGATACTTAAAAATACAATTACTGCGGTAAAGCCTGCTTCCAGTAATTGTGAACACGAGCATAATGGCATGACTCGCAAAAGACGAAAAGCTTTTGATTTTCTGACAGTTGCCATAACTACCCGGTGGAGTTTGTGCGCAAACTCCTAAGTGGCAGTTTGACACTAATTTGGGCCCAGGGGAGTGCTGAAAATTGCTGCCACCAACTGCTCACCTCTATGAGTGCATCCCTCTGCTTGAGGCCCTCTTGCAGTTCATCATATTTGTACTGCAGCACACTTTGCGCATGCTTCTGTCTCTCCAAGTCCTGGGAATATCAAAAATAAACAACAGTTGAAAACATCTCACTTCATATATATTCAAGCACCTATATAAAACCAACGTGTATTGTTAAATACATCCTATACCAAACTAAACACGGGTGATCTTTGTCTTCTGCTCTGAAATCACAAACTTCACAAGTCTGGGTTTTCATATTCGTGTTGTTGTAATCCAAATATTTAATGAGAAAAATCAAAAAATATCCCTAACCTTTGCAAAATAGACATATGGAACCTTAATTACAAAATATTAATTACAAACATTTTTTTTTTGTAATTACAATTTTGAAAATATTCTTGGGCAACGTTTTTGTAATTACATTTTTGGCAATATTCTTGGGCAACACAACAACAGAACACCATGGCTTGCCACTGCCAATGGGGTCAAAGGGTGTTTTTTTAAAGTTTGCATAACAGCAGATGCAGCAATTTGCAGGAAATATCAAAGTTGTAATATGAGCCGTATCAATCAGACCACTTGATGCCAACAGTCCTAATGGCGAAGTGCACTTGTGTTTTATTCTTATTTGAAATAAGTTGCAATGACCATCTGAAGTGCACACATGTGTTTGCCTTTGCCATTACACATGGTCCAACAAAGAGAACTGCTCAGAGTCAATCGGCAAAGTGTGCTCTTTAAAAACATCTGTCTAACATCAACGGCCCGATCTACTCAGCTGTGACGTGCGTTTCATATGGTAGTTACGAGCAAAATCTGTTTCACATTACATTATCCTCGTTATTTTGCTACCTAGAAATATACAAACAAATCTAGCAATATTTTACTTGGCAATGCAACACACATTTGAAAATTGGCGATTACCAAAATACACAACCCAAACCTCTTCATGGTTTATTTATGCCTGAATATGTAATTGACCGTGGGGTTCGATACCGATATAAGCTCCCCATAAACATTCAATTAGCATGTCTTGCTATGTGACTGTTTACAGGAGGGCTTAAATCAATAAGTTGAATAATAAACATCATTTTTAAAGTACTCGGCTGTACCTTTGGGGAGTGCACAAAATTACTGTGGCTCAAAAATCCCCACACATATATTCATAGCTGAACATGGTGTGCTGTCAATGTAACTTGCAAGCTGTGTGATATATTCAGCAGGTTGTCACTTAAAAGCTCATTGCTTCAACATAACTGCGGGTGATGATACTAGAAGCTGTATAGATGGTTTGGGTTTAACTTCATGGGTGCAAAGCATCTGCTGTGCAGTCTAGTTTAACAACTGCTGCAATACAAATACGCACATAAGACCGAGTCAAGAATGTTAAACCTACAAGTCATTCACATCGGCACAGTCTATGGGAAATCAAGTAATTACAGAATAAGAAATGTTACATTGGTGATTTATTTACAAGTATGATTCCTGGGGTCAAACAATGCTCTCTGAATCTGGTAATCAATTATGAAACAAACATTTGTATTCCACATTTTTCAATACCTGGTCATTTCTGTAGGAGTAAATACGTACACATGACACAGAGACACATGCATGTGAATCAATGATGTTAAAACCACCAGAGCAAAATGCACACTGCTGGCTCGGTTGACAGCCGAGAGGACACTTTTGCGCAACAGTGCAACGCTAAGTACCTTGCATTTGTCCTCGTGTTGGCGCCTGAGCTCCGCCATCTGCTCCTCCATCTCCTCCATGCTGTCGCGCAGGGTGTCCACCTGTAACACGGCGATTGATGCATTCCACTCAGTCGTGCCTCTCATCGACAAATAAAACAACATTTTGATTACGAATTATGAGAACCTGTAGAATGGAATTGTATCTCACATGTATTCACTGTATTGTGAAATTACACAGCACATCATCCCGGCATTGATCAAATGGCCGGGATGATGTGCACCTCCGATATCACGGTTGGCTACGTAGAGTGCTAAAGAAGTTCAATGCACATATATACAAATAAGTATCGTCCACGGTGACTGGTCTGGTCACCACGGTAGGAGTGGGGAATTTATACCAGAGGTTCAAGGCCCTCAAAAGATGATGGGCAACACCCAAAACTTGGAGACAATTTCACTGGTATTACTGAACAACAGGTGGAGTGGTAGCACAGAGGTTAACACACTGCACTTTCAACTTTGTGCGGTGAGTTTGATTCCCAGCCATGGATAACATCAGCAGCGAGTGATATCGATCTGAATCAGACCTGCCCCTCCCCCGATTCACCAAGTTACATTGTTCAGCATGGTGAGGTATAGTTAAACAACCTGCAATATTAACAGATGCGGGGAAGCCGTCATCCAGCAGTGGATTGACAAAGGTATGCCAATTATGAGTTTCATTCATTACTGCATCTCTGGTAAAATAACTATAAACAGTTAAACATTTTTTAAATGATCACAACAGCATCTATAAGAATGACCAGTCTTCACGAATATGCACTGTATTTTGCACATGTCATAAAATTGCTTCAGGGTTTACATTTGTGTACAAACTGTTTCTTTTGCAGGAATGTTTACTTTGTTCCCATATTCCACAGAATGTATTTTCTTACCTGATAGATCAAATTAAACTTCTCGTTGTCAAGCTGTGCATTCGTCACCATAGCCTTTTTAAATTTTTCCTGGACCTCTGACAGTGATTCCTGCCAAAGAGAATCCACGCAATAACATGAGTAAAATAAGACAAGATGCAGCAAGTTATTTTTCTTGAGCCTCATTTTCACACGAATGGAAATATCACGTTCAACTTTCTGAGCATGCTCTCTCGGTGCAACACTTGTCAAACAATGTAACATTCACCATGTTCCTACAGAGGGAAATATAATACAGTCCACTGTGTTTACAACAGACTGGTGCTTTTAATTAAGTCAATTGAATGTGAACAATGAAAGTTAATCAACATCATTAGGGATGCAAGCTTGAAACACGTTGAGTTAAAATCTTACTCATTATTAAACCAAAAGTACATTTATTTTTAAAAATAACATGCAAACTTTTTGTTTTATTAATCATTTACAGCCACACACTATTTCACAACATGCAGCGATTACGAGTTAAGTTAAAGTCTTGTTGCTTTCAAAAGGCAGACGCTTGTGTGAGTGCATCAAACAACACATGGAAACCCTCAGTTTATTGTATATCTCCACGTCATGCTTCCAGTACCTTTATTTCTTTTAGGCCCTTCGTGTATCTGGAATCTACATCGCGTAATTGATCCTTTAGCTCATAGATATCCTAGTGAGCAGAAATGGAAGCCAGGTCTCAAGAAAACATGAATCGTGAAAGAAGTGACAGACCTAGGGATGGGCTTTCCAATGCACAAGAAACCCATCGCTGCTTCAACACATCGTCTCTGCGGTATACTAGTTGAATTCACGTGTGTGGAAAGCACTCAAGGGGTAGGGAAGGTGGGGGTGGGGGGGTTCATAGAATCTGCCACCTGTCAGAAGAGCAAAGTATGTACAGCGGTGACACCAACTGCAGTATAGGAAATGTTCATCCACACAAGGAAGTGAAGAAAATACAACGCTGATGGGGGAATATTATACAGATGTAAAAAGGTGTTTACGCACAATGAATACCTCGACGATGGTATGAAGGGACTTTGTGCTGATGGTCTCGAAGACACAAGAGAGATGTATATAGAAACATGACTAGGGACTCATACTCTTGGGTTTTTTTGGTAAAGTCACGTAGGTAAAAAATAAAATTAAAAGTTAATAAAAGTAATAATGTAAATAAAATAATGACCAATTTTTCTTGTAGCCCCGCCCACCACCCCCACGTTCCATTCCCTGGTTACCACATTCAGATAAGCCCCTCCCCCCTTAACTTGTATTTAAGGGCTGGTCTTTTGGAATTTTCCGCACTTGATGCAGTAATTTTACCTGTGACGGTCCCACCTGATGACGGAGACTTGTGTTTCCTCCGAAACGTTGTGATTTATTCTTTTATTTCCTTTATTACTTTCATTAACTTTTAATTTTATTTTTTACCTACGTGACTTTACCGAAAAAACCTAAGAGTATGAATCCTTGCAGTCACGAAAGCTTCAAATCTAGAATGACTTGGGACATTGGCCTTTTCTGTAATGTTTGATCAATCTACCATAAGACTAGACTCGATGTATTTCACTGAAGATATGTACACACTGTTTATGATATGTTTTACATATTTTATTAATATACTCTTGAGAAGGTTTTTGTAAATCAGCTGTGTGGCTCTCCGTTGCGTTTTCGGGTTGTACTGCGTGTTGCTAAGCACGATGTCTGACGTGTTGTACATTTCATTCCCAGGACACGGTGTGGAATGTTGGACGTTGTGCCGAACAACGCACGGCATAACCCAACATCTCATGCAAAGAGCTTTACTTGCATTAAAATGATCAACTATTGCCATTTATTTTATCAGGTGATATCCCACTGAAACTCGTGATCGCTTTTTTTAAGGACACAGGATATATGGGCCACCAAAGTTATGTAGAGACAATTCTAGAATTTTTCCAATTATTAGAGTTATGGGTAATTTGGCTCTGCCACTACACACAAATATTATTTTCCAAATAGGTGAGAGGTTGAATAATTACTGGGCACGAGCATTCATTGGAACATTTTATTTATAAAGGTGTAGTGCCGAACAAGATTACCCAAGTGATATTCATCTTAATATCAAATTTATTTCATCAGCGACTGCTGGATATATCTGCGACAAAGGGCAAGAGACGCCTCACCTTGGTCGAGACATCCACATCTCCAAGAGAGCCAATGTCTCCATTGCCCTGCTTGGAGGACAAGTTGGATGAGGACAAGGCTGATACGGCACTCCGGGATGCCAAGGGCTGCAAGCAGCATACAGACAACACACAGGTTACATGGCCGCATCACAAGGCAAGCCAGGGTATGGCACCTCAACGCCAAACCTTTATCTCCACTGCTATATTATAGGTGTCAGCCACCCTAGCCGACTGCTGTGCTACAGCTGTGGTTACATTACACAATATTTAATTAAAATACACTCTTTTGCCGTAAATATAGCACCACAAAGTGGCCGATTTGATTGATGTGTGTGAACTTGAATAGTGAGTTATAAACTAACACCCTTTGAGGGTGGCAGCAGTGTGGAAACAAGTCTTGACTTGCCTCCGGTGCAAGCAAAAACTGCAAGGCAACACACACCTAAAACTATGAACTAGTTTTATTCTACCAGGTAAGGCCCATGGAGACATGACAGTATACTTGATGCTATGTGAAATTATATTCCTTACACTGTAGAATCACAGCCATGAACAGGGTTTTTGCTGAAATATGGACGTCAAACATGAGTTAATGACTTGTTGCGCTCCCATAAACAAAGTCAATATACTTACGCGTCCTGTGTTTTCTGCGAGGTCATTGTCACTGTGATCATCAGTGTACTGGAGGAAAAAAAAGGGGTAAAAAAAAGTAATCAGTCAACATGCGTGGTTGCAGAACCTTAGGGGATCCGTGTACTGGGGATCCAGCTTGCCTGTGGAATGCATTTAGGCAGCTTGTTTATGTCATCGAGGTCAGGGCAATGAATAAAATGCTGAAGCTGCAGCTTTATCTTCAGTGCACAACTTCAGCACTACGACTAAATTGAAAACAGAGGCAAACAAGGATCCATATGATATCAATATCGATGCCTTCAGTTTGTTTTCCCCCCAGCAAAGTTAGCAAGACGATGTGACTCAAAACAGTTGGTCAATCTCCGGCAAACGCTTCTGCAAAGCCACGGCAACATTCAAGTCTGTTTTTAGCGTTAGAAAACCAAAGCTTTGCATCCCAGCTATTTTAATCCACACTCCCAACTGTGCAAGTAAACTCACTTTAGCCAGCTCAGGGATTGAAACATCATCGAAATCAGAGAGTGCACTTCCTCTGCGAGAAGAGCAACCGTAGATGTCCACTATTGAGCCTTTCCGTGATGGTGGGTTTGACGACTTATGAAGAAAGATGGAAAGGGAAACAGAAAAGAAAAGAAGCAGTTACAGGTAGATGAACAAGGTAGCCTGTGTCAATAGAATATAAAAAATAAACATTTACACAGTAGAATACTCTTTAAAAGATCTATTATCACCAAAATAATGAGACATAAAATATGTAAATGAATGGAAAACCAAAAGTTGTTGCAGGAATATATGTTCTTAATATACAAACTCCATGATGGCATGCCATTTGTGCACGTGTTTAGCATATGTGTAGAAGGGCACATGTGCATATTTAACTGAATGAAAATACCATTGAGATAAATGTGCATACGTATGTCCTGACCCTACTAACGGCACATCTTTCGGTTAACGCTAAATGAAATGTAGCTAACATTGAACTTGGTGGCTTGCATTCCACTCCCGGCTACGGCTAACATCAGGGACAATATTTAAACTGATCCTGGCCCCTGCCCTCTCGCTGCATTAACCAACCCTGTACTGACCAGCGTGGTGCAGTATGGTCAAACAACCCCCACAAACAGCATGGGATGGCAAAGCTCTCATATAGCGGTGGATTGACATAGGTTTGCACAATTAAAGCATGTTTTAGACTGTACTGACCAATGCACAGATGTCTGAAATATCACCTATATAATTCGAATGTTTGCACATGTTAATTAGGAAATATTAGTGTGTATTATTTTAAACACAATATCCTATTATTTCATAACTGTGTGGATTGTGTGTCGTGTAATTTTTTTTACTTTAAATTTTTTTCTAATTTTAGTCAGATATTAACACATTCAATGTGCAGCTGAGTTACAGAAAATGAATCACACCAACCATTCCCACAAGGAAATGTTAAAGCATCCAGTTTGGATGAAAGTCTCTCCACATTTTTCGCAGTAATGTGTACAGTTTTGTTTGCTCCATTTTTGGAAAGTGGTGTCCTAATGTGACACGATATTACATTAATTTTCATAAATAATAAATAACGCATTCCTACACGCAACACTCTTCGAGTGCATGTATCATGAGTATAATGTACAAACAGTAGCTCTTGTAAAATATAATGATTATCTGATACTAGCTGGTGCTGCTACTGTGCTTTGTTCAATAAAGTGTCAACACGCTGCGGGGACTTTATGAAAGAGCTGCTGATGAACGCGGATTTCCCGGTGTTCGTCGGATTGTCAAAGGTGGCATTGGTGGCCGGCTCTCACCGTGACGCCCCGGGCTGAGCGAGTGGATTTCCGTGAGTGTACACTCGTCACCTCATCATCAGAGGACTGATAACCACCACGGCAGGCGGAAGAGACGGAGGAGGAGGATACGGCAAAGGAGCAACACAGGAGAAGAGCGTAAAGCAGCAGACTGCAGCAGCGGTGGAGTAAGCAGATTCCCCACACGAACGATGCAGTGGCTCGGGAAAAAAAATCCCCACTCAGAAATGAATACGTTCACACACATTTGAGTTAGGTTATAGATAAGCACGCAAATGTTTGCATGGAATTAGACCCGATGTAAGCCCATTGGCAGTTCTAGCAGCCATTACAGAGATTACAAAAAATAATTTATAATATTGTAATTTACAAGATGATGTTAACAAGGAACAAGTGCAGTAAAATAAATTAACAATTCAATATAATTTTTCCTATTAAACCAAGAATCTTAATGATGCATTAATTACATTTCACACAATGAAGCTTGTTTAGCATAACTCACATATCATTTGCTTGCATTTGGCTCAATTCTATATCGCGAGTATAATCGTGTTTGGACATGAGCTTGTAAATTAATACCATATGCCAAACATTGTCCTATATACAACCCTAGACTACAGTACCGTGTATGATACATGAAGGGTTTTTTTCTTTTCAGTAAACAGCAGCATATTGTTATAGTTTGATACTTACAAGCCAGAAAGCAAAAACAATTAATCACAATTATGTTTTAAACACACATTACACTCATGTAAACAATCTCCCTACGGCAGGAGTGGTACGATTAATGTGAAGGTCTGCTTATAAATGTCCCGTTAGCTCTACTATTTTGATATCCCCATCAGTGGTTCCACATGCATGCTCTCCACATTTACGCCACACACCGAGACAAAACACGTTACAGGTAGCTTCCTCTCCATTATCCGTGGGCGGATTATTCGCCTTGCAGATTGCCAGTCCTTGTAAAAAATGTCGTTTTTGCTTGTATTGGTTTAATGATCTGCCTCCGAACGTGTGACTCAACCGATGTGACTCACTCTTGCAATTACAGCCAAAACTAGTCGGTGGAAGAAACATTCTTTGTTTCACCCGCTAAACAAGACATGTAAGCAACACACGTTTTCTTGGCGACCATGAAGTTTGGCCTTGTTTCCATGATTTTCTTTTATCCGAGCTACTCCTCCCATGACCACGGACAATGGAGCGTTGGCTGCTGTACGATTGTGAGAACACGTTGGCATCTCACCGCTGGGCTGGCCCTACGAGAATTGACCAGAGAGCTGAGCCGAGAGCCGGACACACCCTCTGCTGCCTGAAGTTTTACAAACAAAGCAACGACTTACAAGACACTCCTAAAGGGCACGTGAAGGAGGTAAACGATGCAGGGGATTCCATTATTTTAAGCCAATAGTCACTTCAACAATGTACATGCACTGTGCAGGGTTGCCATATATTATTTGGCACAGGTAGGCCAAAGTACTATATTATCGCAAGTTGAATTGTTGATGCTTCCATAATCATGAACAGCATGGTTATCTGAAAATGTAAATATTACAAATTCACGTACTTTGGATAAATAAGTCTCTGTCAGGCGTAAGATAGTGTTAAGTAGAAGTGAGCCTGACATATGCTATGTAGTGGATAGGGGTAGAGTTTGTTCAGTCCAACACTAATGAGGCTAGTGGAAGAAGATATTTATACAGGGGTAATTGAAGCAAGCTGCCGAGAGCTGTGTTCAATGCCTGTGAACTGATATTAATTGTAGCACTGTGAAAACGAATCAGAAAATTAACAATAGCTCACTTTCATAATACGTGAGCATAAAGCATACCTTGAATTCACACAATGTATGCTATGTATAACAGCAACCTCGACGAAGTACTTAGATTTTAGAACACCAATCACCTAAGACAACATCAACCCAAGATACATAGAACATAACCCCTTTGCCATGCCCAAATTACAATTAACAGCTCTTAATATCACATTGGATTTTTTAAGTGTAACTGTTGCAGCCTTCTAATCAATTAAGAGAGTCATAATGTATTTAAAAGTGTCTAAATGCTCAAATAGCACTTACCATATTCATCTTTCAATAACATTAAGCTATTTAAATAAAAAAATGGCATTTTAATATCCTGTTAACTGAAAAATATACTGAATATATACAATGGTAGGATAACATTTCAGACAATCTTGATTTGAAGCTTTTGTGACTGCAGGAATCCACACTCTTTGGTTCTTTCGGTAAAGTCACGAAGGTAGAAAATTAATAGATCATGACGTTTCGATCGTAGATAGAAAATTAATAGATCACGTTTCGATCGTAGATAAAAAAAATTATAGATCACAACGTTTTGATCAAAACATCGTGATCTATTAACGTCGTGATCTATTCATTTTCTATCTACGTGACTTTACCGAAAGAACCAAAGAGTATTTCCGACAATCGCCCTTCTTTAATGCAAGGGGTACTGCCCAAAAAGTTATCCCGTCTGCTTTTAATTTTCTCTCTCATCAGGTCATCTGCAAGACAAAACTTGTGACGTTTCGTGGCCGGTGCTGCCAATGCAACTCTTGTAATTTTTACGAGCATTGACACATTTCCCTTAACCATTCCGACAGCAGCCACAATGGAACCCATTCCCAATACATGAGGGGAGCATAGGCCAGGTTCAGCGAGTTCAAGGCCAATGAACATAGCTGGCCAAGTGGAGCTTAGGCAGCTGTCTAAACCAAACACATGGACATCCTTGAAATGCCAAACAAATAGTCTTTGAATGAACCGACATGTAAGCTTATATGTGTGGCCTTTTGACACTCGCATACAGTGCCATTGCTTGATGATGTTCAATTCACATTGTCTTACTGCTGCTCGAGCAGGACATGGGGAGGTAACTCTTTCGATGCTTTTGGTTGCCGTGAACCAGTGAAGAAAACTCGTTGGGGATGGCTCTCTCCACAGGATAACACTGTTGACTTCTCATGAAGCAATGCACGTTTAATAAATTCCAGAGGCATGATGCGATGATTCGACTGCCAAGCAGGGTCTCAATTGTAGACCATGCTGTGCGTTGTTCAGAGACAATAGTATGTGGTAGAAACAAAGAATTAACAGTGAATAATCCTAAATGTAAACTGCAAATGCATAGCCACGCTTTATAACCAACGCAAAACATATCAAAATAATGAAGGTCCGATACAATAACAAAGACTGAAAAGTATATTCAAGCATTGCGATTCACTTGTCGTTCCATTTTCACTGACTTGGCGAAGTGCGAGTCGATTCCGACGTGGCCATGGTTAGTCAAAGTCACTGCAAACACTGTTAAAGCAATACAAACAGCAAACAGCCTGCACTTACGACCCGTGAGGAAGAGCCCCGCCACCCACGGGCACTGCCCAGAATATCTTCTGAGCCCAAAGTCTACAGGGAAGATGTGTCCAACACAGAGTGGTCACCGGTGCCAATACACACACACACACAGTTGTGCTCATTCCATAAGCCCCTGAATGTCCTGTTCTCATGACATTATGGCACTCTACCAGTTTCCCAACTATTACCACCAGTAAAGTCACGTAGGTAGAAAATGAAATTAAAATTAATAAAAGTAAAATAATAAAAATCACGACGTTTCGGAGGCAACACAAGCTTCCGTCTTCAGGTGAAACCGTCACAGCAAATGTCTGTATCAAGTGAAGAGAAGTCCCACTTGATACAGATATTTGCTGTGACGGTTTCACCTGAAGACGGAAGCTTGTGTTGCCTCCGAAACTTCGTGATTTTTATTCTTTTACTTTTATTAATTTTAATTTCATTTTTTACCTACGTGAATTTACCGAAAAAACTAAGAGTATGAATCCTTGCAGTCACGAAAGCTTCAAATCTAGAATTATTACCACCAGTCCACGTAACTTCTATGTCACTGAGGTCATATGCTCAGTGATCTTTGATCCAGTCCTGAGGCCCTAATTTAAATGGAGCCACATTAGGGGCCGTCCATAAATGACGTCACGCGATTTTTGGACGATTTTTGACCCCCCCCCCCCCCCTTCGTCACACGGCGTCACAAAAAGTCAGATCCCCCCTCAAATGTGACGTCACAAAGCTCTGCCCCCCCCCCCCCAAATAAAACATGCTTCAAATAGCTTTGAACTATTGTCATTGTAGTGCGTATTTAATGTGGCGCTGCACTCTGATGCTGTAGGAGAAAACATTTATCAAAAAGTCTATTTAATGACGTAGAACGTGTTGTCTATATTTATTTAAAGTTGCGCATTTTGATGTGACGTCACATTTCTCACCCCCCCCCCTCGTCACACATCGTCACAAGTGTCTGACCCCCCCCCCCTTAGGTACGTGACGTAATTTATGGACAGCCCCTTAATACCTATTCGTTATTGTAGTTTAACATTTGAAATACATTCTTACTGCATTTTGTAGATAGTGGCAAAGCAAAATAATGTTCTGCAGTACTGCAATCTTGCCCCTACTTTGGAAATATTTACAATACTCCAGTCAAGATATTTAATTCTGAGTGTAGCTGCATATGGGGAGCACTGCAGGAGGTCTGGGCAACATATATGATTGCATCTATACTGTGCCCAGTTTCTAGTTCCGATTCTGACCAGGACAAGACGAAACATTACTCATCAACATTAGGCTCAGTTAAAATTTTAATTTCAAAGATAATAGATAAGTTTCCATTTACGTATACAAACAAGCCAAAACGTTGAATGGGATAGTTTCATGATCAAACTGTGCCACCAAAATAAAAGAAAGTACCGTATATTTTAAACTCACCAGGACTTTGAATGAGTAAACGTATCACAAGGAAGATACACTATCATTAAAAACTAGCACGTTGTGATTTAGGATCTGATAAATGCTCAAATCTTGACTTAAAGCTTTTGTGACTGCAGGAACTAATCTTCTTGGGTCTTTCAGTAAAGTCACGTAGATAGGTTCAAAGAAAATAATAAAAAATAACAGAAAACTACTACGTTTCGATCGCAACGCAAGCGGTCGTCTTCAGGAAAAGGGACCTTTTGATTATATTCTTTGAACCTGTCTACGTGACTTTACTGAAAGACCCAAGAATATGATAAAGGCTCGCTTGGACAGTAACTCGACCCTCATTTAAGGATAAATAAATTACTTTGTCACCACCATAAAACAAAACAAAGACACTTTTCACTGCATGGGTTAAAGGTTGTCAACAAAGATTGGACACTGACCCTGCAGCTTCGAGCAGGGGCCAAAGGCTCACTGTAAAGAGAGGAAGTCTGTTGAAAATAATTAAAACAGTTACATGTCCGCATAACGATCACAATTCATATGCGTGAGACACCAGTAAAATGTATTCAGCATTCACTCAACAATGAGCACACCACATCTAAAAGTGTAATGGTATATACAGTCTATTCAATGTGCCCGAGATGAATGCGGTAGAAGTGTGCGACGAAGCACAGTTGATTCTGTAAAACTGATAAGCTGATGCTCAGTGTAACTGAATAAGTCATATTTTAAAATACTTTTTTTTAAACACGCTTTAATGAAATGTACCGTACGAGTAATGGCAGAACTCCACGACTCGAGGAAGTGGCCCCGAGGCTTGCCATAGCGTAAAGGGGCCGTAGTGATTTACAGCCAACGTGAGTTGAGCGTGGACAATTAGACCCAAGACGAAACATAACATAAAAAATAATGTTAATTTTTTTTTTATAGAATATAGTATTGTCATCAGTATGACATAAGTATACCAAGTTTGCAGTCGATACTACACTGGGAAGTGGGTTAAAATTGAGTTACAAGATTTGAGCATACAACAACAGAGTGAGCTAAATAAAAGCGTGTAAAAAAAAGTAACTCGACAGGGATGCATGAACATGTTATGGGGCATGAATGAAACCTGCAGGGTGGTCGTGCAGCGTTTAGCGCTGCGCTTACGAACCCGTCTGTCTACACGAGTTCGATGCCCGCTCACGGACAACATCATCGGTGATATTTATCTGAACCAGTCTTGCGCCTCCCCTAGGTGGACTCGGCGTCAAATGAGTACCTGGTGTGATGAGGAAACATTGCTACTGGGGAGACAAAGGCGACCAGGCGTGGTGCTGGCCACCCACCCCCTCGTGTACCGTGTCGGCCTTCATAGATGCTCGAGAACGGCACTTTCCCCAATAGTCTGTTAAAGCTATAACGGGGGAGGGGGGCGGTCATTGTCTTTGATGAAGCACAGTTCAGTCTATAAAACTGATAAACTGCTGGTCCGTGTAACTGAAAAAGCGATTGTAGAATGGGAGATGTGAAAATGTTAGGGGGTAGACAGAGGTAAGTGAAAGAAAGCTGCAAGCAGCATGTTTCAGCAGAGGAAAGAAAACAGACCCTTTTGCCAGTGCGCCTTGAAAAGGGCATGTCATCATAGCCGCCCCGGACACCGTCATCCTGCTGCCAATGATTAACATGTGAAAAAAATAAACTCAGCATCCAAAGGACATTCCGTTGTGCGTAAGCTTTACCCATGCCACTTTGCTAAATGTCGAATTATTAAGTCAAACTGTCATCAGCTAATAATATTACATAAATAGTAGCTTTTTTAACATGTAAACACAAAGTGTTATAAAATGTCGACTCACTCATGACAAAAATATGAGGTTAACTGTTTCCTTATATTAAATAGAGGAGACATCTATTTAATATAAGGCACCTGAGTCGCAGGCCCAAAAACGATCTTTAAGCAGAATAAGGCAAGAGGAACATTCGTGGTGAAACTTACATCGCTTAATCCCCGATAAGGAAAGGCCACTTCTAACATTCATTCAAGCCTCGTTTCCATGACCACTGCTAACTGGGCTCTGCAGGTCCAGCAATAGCCCAGGACCAGCACCATGGCCCATGTCCCCATGAGCCACTAGGATCTGTGAGCTGGGCTCCCACTCTGTCCCCTCCCCCCTTTGTCACCTAACCCTCCGTGGCTGGAGAGTGGTGTTTGGGAAGTGACATTTATTTTACATAATTTAACAAAGGCAAGGGTTTTAAAGCAAATAAATGCATTGCTTAGTAATTGTATGGCCATGTAAGTTAACCGTGAAGTGCGATAAAGTAACCAGCATCACTAGACACTCAATATTTTACTGTCTTGGAAGAATTTATTTTTATTTTATCAGGTAAGACCCACTGTGCTATATAGCTCTTTTTCAGAAGCGACCTGGCCACAAATGATAGCTTAACGAAGTTACTTATCATGTGAAAAGTATCGCAGCCAAATACTTTGAACGCATGTTTCTGAATGTAGAGGGAAAAACTGAAGGATCCAGAGAAAAATCCATGAGACCACGTGGAGACCATACAAACTCAAAATATACAGGCGTCAGGGTCGGGATCGAACCCACAACCTCCTGTAAACCAGGGGAGGTAGTTCACATCTTGCCACCACGGCGCCCTATTGTCCCCATGACATCACGACTGATTCCAGTGTCAGCCCAGAAAACGATAATGGCTCACAATTTGAAAAGGGGACTCTGTAGCCTTGTTATGGGATCAAATGGAAACCATGCTACTTGGTTCCTATTTGGGCTTCTGTGGGGACAGGGGTTCTCCAGTCTGGCCAGTGCTGCCAATAGTTCTCAGTGGTCGTGGAAACAATCAACAGTCTCATGAGTTTGAGTCCGTGCACCCAACCCATGCCCCTGATTTTAAAGTGTACCAATAATGCAGATCACTTTATTCAAGTGTCTGCAGATTACGTTATTCCAGTTTATAACCAAACGATCATGTTGTTTGACAGGTGAAAATGGCAGAGACCACTGCACTAGAAAACCAATGCACAAGAGAAAAGTAGAGTAAAAATTACAAACCAAAGTGAAGTGATTATGATTGTCAATTACGACAAACGTAACAAGTTTAAAATCAACCACGATTGTACGTGTGAACTTTGTTTTACAGATAGTTCGAGCCATCTGATGTCACTACCAATGTCAGGCTTTACAGCCTCATTCACAGGTAATAAAATGTGTTTATCCAAACAAGGCAAAACAAATTAAACACATCTTGCCAAACTATCTCGGTCTTAGTGGAAAGGACGTTTGTGTAATTGGTCTCATACATTTTCTTGTGCAATGCATGGGCATCGATCTACTTGTATTTGCATCTATATAGCCTCGTTAAATTCCGAGAGCATAAAAATAGCAAAGTACACACCACAACATGGGCCTTGGCTCTGCTGGAGCCAGCATCCCAGTTGTCATAACTATTTTTCTGATAAAGAAAAAAGAGCACAGATCTCAAGTATCACACATTCAGCATTAGCTCATAATTATTCAGAAACCAGGCTTAATGTAAAAAATAAACATGAATGTCAGAGGCAAAGCCAATATTTAGGCAATCTCCGATGCGCCTTTAGAGATTTCACATGCAAAATAGAAACCAAAACGGATTTAACATAAACTATTCATATACCGCCTGCTTTACAATCATGACCAACAAGCAAGAGAACACCAACACATTTAGCTCAGCAGTCCTGTGCTGTCGACTCCCTGTCACTACCTTTTTTCAAGTCTAGACCTTTTTCCTCTGCCTAAGATTGAGTTCCCCTCTCTAAAATAAACATGACCACTATTTCTGTTCAGCATCTTGACATGCAGTTGCATGCAAATAATATTTAAATGCTTAATATAATTGTACATTGTATGGCCACAACCTTAAAACAGGTACAGCAAATATCCCCGAACCTCCGATTAGAATGGTTGGCTATATACGTAGAGTGCGAATTAAGTTAAACACTACATACATACATCTATTGTAAGATGCAATAAGTGGAACTCTCTATTGCATTGATGCATACGTCTTAAGATATGATGCTGACACCATGAGATGCTTGCTGGTTTCAATATACAGTACACATTCTTCTCAAGAGAAGAACAAGGCTAATAATCTAGATTTGCAATTGCCGTTATAAACCATATCTGTACGGGTCAATGACACACCAAAATGTATTTTACAAATTAATTGTCTAGCCCTGTAAAGGATATTTCATAAACAATTACTGTTATGTTAGGTAGGAGGCATTCATCATGCATGCAGCTTGATTGCATGGGATTAGCCTGAAAGATATAAGAAACCAGAATAAATAAAGCGATTACTTTCCAATGAATGGATATGTCACGTCATCCAGTTCCCTTAAATATCACACATCTGCTTGTTACTGCCTGGAGCTCATTCTTGGAAACCTATGCTGGAATACTGGGCTAGCAATAGGAAATCTATGACTTCGAATATGAAAAAAATTACTCTTGAAACTAAATAGCACATAATACTCTGAAAAAAAATCAAACAATAAATGTGTTAAAGATACCCACAGACATTAATGAAAGACAAAACCCACAGCCATGCAGTGAATAATACCTACTCGAGAACCGAGCTTCCGTCTGTATTTGTCGCTTTGCCAAATCTACAATGGAACATTGAGATTAGATGAAGAAATAATGTGAACATTGCTTAGATACAACATGTGCATGCTGAATCACTCTTCAACAAAGAAATCCAATGAAAGTAAATCCAAATCCAAATCACACACCAAAGCAGAATGCCATTTGTAAATACTTCAAGTACACAACAACATTTTTGTTAATCACAGCGCAAAATATGTAAAACCACAAGGCTAGTTTACCTGACAAAACAAGGGACCGCTAAAGTGTGCATGCAATAGTTTGAGGTTATATTTTAATTTAAAACAGCAATGTGGTAAAACAGTCTGCAAATTGACGGCCATTTTAATTATTAAAACGCAAGCAAGTGCACTCAAAAGTTGATGGCTTTATAATGCCCGGTTCCTGCTTTCGTTTTCGATCAGAGACCACAGCTGCAACGTGCAGGACTTTCCATTTTTACTGATAGGAACCCACTGGTTCCAGGGCATTATTGTGTCCGTCCGTCGTGCAGGGAGGGGCTGGGTGGGGAGGAAGGGGCTGGGTGGGGCTCGGTGGGGAGGGGAGGGTGGGGAGGGGCTGGGTAGGGAGGGGCTGGGTAGGGAGGGGCTGGGTGGGGAGGGGCTGGGTGGGGCTGGGTGGGGTGGGGCTGGGTGGGGAGGGGCTGGTCATCCCGTGGTGCCCTTATAAAACTCAACGTTTAACCTACTCACGCCAGCTTGTGCTCGCCCTCACAGTCGGGCATATTTGCGGAATACACCACGCCGCCGTTGACCCTGGCCATTGACCGAGCAACCCAACATTCCTACCAGTTCCCTCCGCCGGAATGTGCTAGCGAACAGTTCTGTGCACTAATCGTTTCACATGCAACACTGCATTGTCACGCACTGACGTTTGAGGGTCATTATCTAGTTAGCTGTGCACTTATCACCTCGTCAGTCTCATCGTCGGCAGGCGGCGCACGCTGAAAAAGGTGAACATTTAATATTTAAGGTTAGTAGATACTAATACTCCTGGCAGTTTAAATAAAGATTGCTCAGAATGAAGTCATATATGAATAAAAAATGTATATGCACCTTGCAGTCTATGAATAGAACATTTGAAAGATGAGTATTTGCAGTTAAATAGAAATGTTATTTTATATTTTTCCTTTTGTTTGAATATTACATGCACATTGACAATAGGCGCTTCCAGTCAGCACTCAGGCAGCAGTGCAGAGATTTCTAAAATAAAAAGTCGTGCTGCCACAACGGTCAGTAATTGTTAAAGTTTACTGGTTTCAACGCAAAAAATACAAACCCTTCTATGGTCACTACTCTCCGATTCTCTTTCGGCACTGGACAACCGCTAAAACAACAGGAAGAGAAGAATAAAGAATACAGTAGTGTTAATGACAGCTTAAAAAAAAGATACGTGAAAATGTAGCAATGAAAAAGGAAACAAAATCACACAAGAGTGCAGATAAGGAGACGAAAGATTGCATATACCGGTTTATATTTTCCCAGCTGGCTGGAGTACAACTCTTCATCATCCTGGAATTCAACCACGATATTTTAAAATAACATTTCCGCATGAAATGTCATCAGGTGCCGTCAACACACAAATCAGAATTGGCCTTAGGTCTTTTAAGTATGCATTCTACGTTTTTTTACAATTCTCCCAACAATAATGTGGAGACATATTTACACGAATGCCGTCAGCCATAAATGAAAAAAGTGACATTTTCTTCGCATAAGCATTAAAGCCCATGAACACGTATTGAGGCCTATGTTCAATAGCTCAAGACAAAATGTAAATGTTAAGGAGATGAATGGAGGTAGGTACCGGCTTAACTCTGTGATATCGGCTGGAGTATCTCTCTTCATGATCCTGTAATCCAACCACACTCGTTTACTGATGCTGTATTTTCTACATAAAGTGTGGCATGCAGCATTTACATTAATACATACAAATGCGTGCATGATGAAATATAAACAGAGTTTCCCTTGAAAAAAAGTACAAAACCTAAATGTAATTGTCATAAAGTACCGTACTGGTTAAATTGCATTCAAAATAATACAGACCAATGGATATTTCTTTGTAGCACCATTCTTCACCCTACTCCTTCCACTGGAAGCATCTCGTTCGCATTCATAGTCCTCACGCTATAACAAAACAAAGCTTAGTCAGGAAGCACACTTGAGCAGGAAAACTCATAGTTGTTCATGCGACTGTAGTGACTCTAGCGACAAACCAAAATATATTATTATAAAGAATAGTGAGTACCAAGAGTGCTGCAAAAATCTAGACTTGCTCTAATGTGAACATATAAAGGATAATGATGCACTAATTAGGTGAGCACTATATTTATATATTTCACTGTAACCAAATGCTTCCTGTGCATGTGCCAGCACAATGAAACTCAACTCCAGCACCAGCAAGGCTCATCAGTCAGCTCGGGCTCAGTGACTCCCACACCACACGCAGCTGCAAGCTACTGACCCTGCTGCCAGAACGGCCGCTTCTCTCTGAGAGCCCATCGGCGTCAGAGAAAGGAGACGCCCGCTGCCGCTGAAAAGGGAAATGCAAAGTAAGGAAAGGGAGGTAAAAAAAACACGGCAAGGAAGCCGCCGTGCGAACGGCGCAGGTGACAGCAGTGCGCAGAACGAGAAAGGATGGAAGAAGGAAGCAGTACAGACCGACTGTGGTCTGGAGAGCCTTGTTGATGGAACCTCCACACCATCCTGTGAACCCATGACATCAGCTTTGAATGTAGGATCACAGGTGCATAGGTAGTCATCGCCAGGTGATGGAAAAACAAGAGGTGAAATGACGGCTTCAAATAATACTGCCGCTGTCGTGAGAGTTGATATTTTAAAGCTGATTTCTTGCAATGTATTGCTGTGACCCATCACACATGCCATGATTATGAGTTGTCTTAATCTGAAATTGATCTGCATATCAGCAATGTATAATTATCACGTGATAAAACACACGTAAAGAAAGCCATGTACATTAACCCGGAAAGCTGAGGTTATGCTTGAACCAATTGTACACGCAGAATTAACAGTGCCCCAATATTCAAAGTGTACATGGATGTGCTTCATTCTCCTTTAACAGAAGACGCATGCAAACACGCAACATGTCCTACCATCCACTGGTGTATATTGTCGTATTCCTCATTATGCCGCGGCAACTGATACTTCTACACATAGCAGGACATATCATAAAAAAATACAATAAAACAATGCAATGATAGGTTAATATATTATACTATCATGCAGGTGATGTTTGCACAGTATAATTAATAATTTCATAGGAATTGATCATTGCAAACATGTGTTCACAATTGTTATATACTTTATTACATATGTTATATGAATATTCATGATTTTTTTACAAATATTTTTCTTAAAAGAATGATTCAATCACAAACACAGCTCTTAGATGTTTCACAATATAAATATAAAAGGTGAGACGTTTTACATGTCAACAGCTAAGCATGTTTAATAAATGTACTTGAAAGAGACAATAACCCGCTTCCGAATTTTCAGGGATATTTAATAAATTATTGTAAACGCATAATAATCTATAATGCAGGCAATGGGAACCGTTAGCCTTCATGTTAAAGTGTCGTAACAGAATCAGAATGTCTTTATATTGGAGGAATCCGATGAGCCTGTAAAACTCTTTTTCACAGATGTCCAGCAGGGGCAGGTAAAGTTCTGCAGTTAGATTGTTTGGTGCATGGCGAATGATACAGAAAAAAAATCGCCTTTGTGCCCCCTATGCATAACGATAAATTACCAATTTGGGTGGCACACTTATTCCATACAGCATCCAGTGAACGAACATTAATTTTAAAAATGTATTTCTTGATTTCCTAAACTGTAATATGCACACGTAGTTGTTTGTAACACAATGAATAACAATCTTGTTATACAAAAATAAAGTCTACTATTTAGTTCTTTCAATCTTCGCAATGATGCAATAACCCAAAGAGCTGTGGAAATTAAGATGAGGTCCTGATTATAACAAAGAATTTGCCAGTGAACCAGCATGCACTGGAGTCAACATCTAAATTACCACAGGCAGCTTATTCAGAAAATTACCAATGTATGCTTTGTTGAAAAGTGGACGTTAAAGACCACTCGACATCATACGAGGGGCGTTTGCATTTGTCGAGAGACCAAATTGGTATTTTAAAACCATCTGTCCGCAATTAAATTGCACAATAACTATCCCTACCAGAGTCAACAGGCACAGGAAAATCAAGGGCCCTCTTGGCGACTGTTTAAGTCAAGCCATGTGCAAAATTAGTTCCCGTGAAACAATGTCGTCTAAAAGATGGCTTGAGTCATCACGTGAGAGTCAGCACTGCATCTGCAATCAGGCCGAAACTCACGAGGCCCACAAAACTTGACAACATTACCCCCATTTTTGGCAAGGTTCTAACTACCGTACGACAGTGAATCACGGCAAACTTTAATACATCATTTACAATTCCCAGGGGTGAGCTTATTATAATCACGATGAAAGTCACGCAACCTTTTGTGTAGAATAAATACAACTGTCCTTGTAAGGCACAGACTTTGAAGGCTTAAATTAATGCACAGTATGTTAGTAGAAATAAAACACCATGCACTGGTATAATCGTTTTTGTAATGAAATCTTCATTCTGATAATGCTGATGTTCTTACATCAACACAGCAATGCAAAACACTGTATCCATATCTTTGCTGAGAGTCAGTCCTACAAATACTGCAAAGACACATCAGATTCATATTCTTGGTTCTTTCGGTAAAGTCACGTAGAAGGGAAATAATACAATAATAAAAATAAAACATAATAAAATGAAATTCTCACGACGTTTCGGCCACAACGCAAGCAGCCGTCCTCAGGTGAAGAAACAGAGCTGTTGGAAAGACAGCGTCTTTAAGACGCTCTTACTTTACCGAAAGAACCAAGAATATGAATCCCTGCAGTCACGAAAGCTTTAAATCGAAAACACACCAGATTGTTCAAAGTATACTTGGTAAAGTACTTGCAGTTTTCATTTAGCAATGTTTGTCACCAAATATTATAAAACAGGAACTACAATCGAGCCTTGAAAAAATCATATGCCCTTACACAGCATGAACAAGTAAAGTATGTGGCCCATAACGACAGTACAATATACCCAAGGGAAACAACGATATGGCGATTTGAACAAACTTGAATGTTTTACTGCCAATAACTTACCTATTGTGTCGGTGGACACAGTCCCCCCTTCGTAACCCTGACTTCCAGACGGATAAACATTTATTCCGCTTGCTTAATGCTACAAATGGTGATTTTTTTTTATGTGTGTGCGGGATCTAATCGACGACTTTTCACAATTGTAATAGTATGTTCTCATCCCACTACCCAGTACATTGAGTGCATACAGTGACGCACACTGTGTCACAAGGAACTCCGGAAGGGACGCTATACAAGTACTTTTGATGTCCTCATGAAGTTATCTTACCACAAGAGCCAGATCGCCCGCCTCTTTCGGCTGGGTGCACGAGTGGCTCACTGGGTAAATATACTTGACTGCAAAAGACCCAACGAATTGAAGTTAAACCAGGCTATCAGTGCATTGAAATAGTCATTAGGTCCCACCCAGCTAGCAGCTCCAGAACATTCACAACATTTGCTTCAACATTATTTTGACGTCTAGTACAAAATACTCAACATCTAGTTCACTTTCTACCCAAGTACTCTCCACAAATGGGCAAGAGGCCAGTGGTGGTGCAGCGTAGTGCAGGTTCACCTCCTGACTCGTGTGGTCTTGCACTGGGGATAGGCTGGGAGAAACATTCAACTAATGTATCGGTTGTATTGTATTCACCAACACTGAGCCACCCAAATGGATTCTTAAAGTAACGAAACAACATATATTGAAATACCACTTTAGGATTTATGGATGTACGTTTCTAATTGTATATAGGTCATTCACTGACATATACGACCGATTTAAAAGGCTAATGCTTGCTACATAGAAATCTATTTTAAAGGACTACTCAACTTATTATAATAATTTGTGTAACAAACCAAACTCGGACTGGTTATGTTAAGACACAGCAAATCAAAATGAGTGTTGGGATTTCAAGTGCACAGTTGTTAGTAGAATTTCAAGCACGAATTCCAAAACCATGCTTTTTTTCCTTACCTTCTGAATATTGTAGATCTTAAAAAGAGAAAATATAAGGTCAAAGAATGAGAGCTATGGCATATACAGAGGAGACAGGCCAGGCTTGTGAAAACATCGTGGAAATCAACTTGTAATTTTTTTACAAGACAGTTAAAAGAATGAAAACAAAATTCGGAATGAAAAGAAAAGTCACTAAAGTGAGTGCATGTGATAATAATGTGTGTCAATAAAAGGTACAACATAACCGGTATTCCAGTGCCACAATAACTTTGAAACATGACAAGGCACCAACAGCTTCATTTCCTCTATCACACTTCTGGTCTATAACTGTGACAGAGACTTTGCAGAGACAAGACTCATAGGTATGGACGGACACTGGCCAGTATTACACGTGCACGCACACACACACACGCTAATAAACTGTCAACTACCCATCATAAGTCACGGGCACTCCCCAAAGTGTCACAACAATTTTGGCAGGTATGCTTGTGTGTCACTTTGTTCCTGTTAAACACATTAACAGCTGCAATACGTTCACAAATGTATGTACATATGCTGAACTTCTTTCACACCGTACAACAAACGTGCATTCCTAAATAAATCCACAGTGCAGGAATGATATGGCAACAGTGTCCAGTACTTGAGGGTGGCCCAGGCAGTACTGTATAGCTTCTCAAGGCTTGTCATGCTGATAAGCTTGAGCTGGACCCCACACAACCCAGGGAGCCAGGGTGGCTGTCAAGACCTGATTAAGCAGCCCCCACAACAAACCGTCATTGAACATTGACTCACCAGTTTAAGGCGAGGCTGTTAACAATAAAGGCAAGGGGGAAATTGCATGAGAAGGGGCCTACAACTGTACAGCACTTTACTTTGGCTCAGGGCAGAGGTTGACCTTAATGAAGGCCCCAATAAGCAAGACTGGACTGTCTCGTCTGGCCGAAACAATTTCTGTAATATTATTTTCAATGCTGTTATAAATAAAAAAAAGTGTTGGCATTTAAACCGAACAGAATTATTTTACGTTCAGGGCAATCTGTTGATTTTCTTTGTCCAAGTCGACCAAGGCAAGGAAGTAAAGTGTATGGTTGTAGGCTCAAGCCATATCCGGCTGACTACACTAGTTCAGGATGTCCTTTCCACGTATTTCAAATGGTAAAGGTCCTCAAAATTTCCATGTCATTAAAAAAATATACATGGTGAAGGTTTTCCACATCTCTAAAGTTTGGACTTTGTTTGGGGTGTTTAAAAATTCCTGTATTAAATTGGTGTGATGTTCCAGTAATAATTACCTTAGCCCAATCAAAAAATGAGTAAAGTACTTCACTATAATAACTAACGTAATACGAAGTCAATCAAATGAACATTTAACGTGGTATATTTTTACATTACTTCACCAAACACCGCAAACGGCTTGCTGCTGCTGCTGTAACTGTAGATAACAATAGTCCCAACTGGACTAATCATAATAAAGTGCTATAAATGGGACAGGAGGGGGATGGGGGGGGGTTCAATATTACATTTAGATTCTAATTTCTGTTCAGACACTCGAAGTTTCACACTTTGCTTATACCTCACCAGCAGTTTGACATACTGTGACAAAAATCAACAGTTCGCCAAACGCTGTGCAGTTTTGGTGAGAAAATCGTTTCACTTGTTTGTGCTTTTCACACTTACCAAAGTGACAACGCCAGCATATTCCCACTCTTAACAATTAGTTCTTACATTAAACGAACTGCACTGTGGCATTATCTCTCTGCCGAGCAGGTTCAGGTGTGGCTACTAGATTTATTTAACATGACGAAGAACAGCTGCACATTCTCAGTACCATGCTGGTAGGGGTGACAGCAGATAAAAGATAGCCACAACTCTCGCTCAATCAGAATTCACCGTGGTAAACACAGCCATCAATACACTGTATATATGCTTCTATCCAATGACGGTACTCCCCCCTGTACTTTATCTTGATGGGGAACAATTTAATGTGTCCTTGAAGTGCTTTGGCCAATTTGTTCATTTCTTCTCTTCACTAGATGCCACTTAGACAAATGCATGGTTTGATCAATACATGCCACCCAATAACAATGCGCTTTCGAGTTCAACATGGTCAGGATGAATGTAACATTTGCGGCTTGGCTGACACCATCAAATCCGTTCCACATGAGCAACACTTTATCCAGTGTTCAACACACAGCCTGAGCCCAAAGCACTGATGTAATGAAACATAGAAAATGTATGTCCGCAGCCCTTGAGTGGTTTCTTGTCTCCATAAACCTTGATTGTAAAAATCACTCCCCTTGCTAAAAGACAAAGAGAGAAGTGAGGACCTTGAGCATGACTTAACAAAGCAATGATTTTACCTGGACACCACAGTAATGGAAAACATTGACAAGGCTTGTTTACGGTGTTCTAGTCATACTGTATTTCTGAATGGAATATGGAAATAACGTTATCGTTTAATAACGATTGTGTTAAAATCAAACAGTATTCAACACGAGATTACGATCCGTGCAACAATTGTATTGAACACAGTGCAAGTCCCATTTGCTAAAGTAAAAAAAAGGATATTTCCATCAAATCACTACATATTTGACATTGAATAAGTGTTTTCAGATCTTTGCATAAATATCCAAAAACAAGACTTTTGGGGCAAGTGCTGTTAGCGAGCACCTATGAAAGCCGGCACGGTACACGAGGGGGTGGGTGGCCAGCACCACACCCGACCGCTTTTGTCTCCCTAGTAGCAATGATTTTACACACCACACCAAGTACTCATTCAAGGCTGAGTCGACCTATGGAAGGCACAGGAACGGTTCAGATAATTGTCACCAGTGTTGGCCGTGAGCGGGAATCGAACTAGGGTCGCTGGGTTTGTAGCGCGGCGTGCTAACCGCTACACTACCGTGTGGACAAGCACTCACACACGCGCTTTACAGTACACATAAAGACGCACCTTATGACAGCAATGCAAACTTTCTAGATACACAGTAGTAGAGCTTACAGGGGATTTACTATTTTTATATCGCACATCGCCGACCGAATGCTAGATCTACTGGTTTAAAAAAAGAGGATGGGTGCATGCTTCTAGGCAATTACAGTTGCCCTGGTCAAAGTATCCATGCGGCAAAGTTTGGCCCGACTCACTATGCCTTCATGTAACCAGATAGCACCCTAGGTGTTGCTAGAAGACCTAACAGGGCTGCTGCCATCACTCCAATAGCAAGCCACTCCATCCAACTGGGGAACAGTGTGGCAGTATATAGCTTGGCACACTTGCCATAACTCTTGACCAATGTGGATTTTTACAATTCGTTTTTTTGTTGCATCTAAAACGGATATCGAAAGCAACAAAAATGTCAGTTTTTACGGGAGAAGTTTTGCACAAATACAATGACAGCTTGACAAATAGTTTATCATATTATTATAGGGGTGGGGAAAACACTACAGTATGACGATATAATACGAATTTATTATACTGTATTTACAATGTATGCAAGTTATCTAAGATTAGAGTATTAGCATGCAAATATACCACCAATGAAGGCATTCAGATTTGCATTTAAACAATGTCATCATTATAAGTCATGACCTAATAAATTGCAAGATAAGGGCCTTCCCAAGCTATTGCCAGCTCTTACGATCTTAGGATGCAACAATTCATATACCACCTGCAATCATATTAATAATAGGGCTTTTCCTCCTTTTTTCTGGCAAAACTGAAACCTTTTTACGAGGATTCATGTCTGCATTAACCACAATACTTGCAGTCAAAATGCAAACAAAAACACACTATGATAATATATGCATTATCCTTGAAACTGATTGGTCCACACCACCTGCAATCAGCTTATTACATCGCTCCATCTCCGCAGTGTGTCATACTCGCAGGCGTGTTCCCTCCTACCATCTGCACGTGTGGTTGTAATGAAGCAGACTGCAGCTCTAAATGTGCCAGCTGATTTTCCAACTGGCAGCATCCACCTAAAAGGCCATGGGCCAGGACCCTACACTGATAGCATCCCCAAGGGCTGAGGGCTTAACAAACCACACCTCGTCGTCAAATAAAAGCGAATGAAAAATCCACGTTCCTTGTTTACTATGTATGTGCCAGGTAGGGTTGGTCCACTCACTTTTTAAGGACTCAATGAATGCAATCATGTCTGGAAGGTTCACCATTTCGTTTGACTGCCTATGAATTTTAGCTCACCTAAAAAAAGGCTGAGCATAAAGACTGACCTAGTTTAAAATATGGCCTAAATAAAAGTACAGTGTAAAAATGTACTGGACAAATGAGCAGGATTACACTCTAGAATTGAAGCTTTCGTGACTGCAGGAATTACTATACTCATTGGTTCTTTCGGTAAAGTCACGTATGTAGAAACAAAATATAATAAATAAATCACGATATAAAATAAATCATGACGTTTCGACCGCAACACAAGCGCTCATCGTCAGGTGAAAATGGGGCAAAACACATCGCGAGGGAACACACAGAGGGACATCACACACAGAGCACACAGAGAATGGTAACCTGCACGGAGGCAAATACAGGAAGAAGATGGGAGACGTGAACTCAACAAACCTTAGAAACATAATGCGATGCAAACCAGTCGGCTAATAACATGGTTAGACACTAACCTGGTTGACCACGTATTTCAAAAGACTGCTAAATTTTGTGTTCATGAACACGCAATTTTGTGTTCATGTGTTCATTAACAAAGTTTGTATTCGTGAACACAAAATTTAGCAGTCTTTTGAAATATGTGGTCAACCAGGTTAATGTCTAACTGTGTTGTTGGCCGACTGGTTTGCATCGCATTATGTTTCTAAGGTTTGTTGAGTTTGCGTCTCCCATCTTCTTGCTGTATTTGCCTTCGTGCAGTTTGCCATTCTCTGTGTGCTCTGTGAGTGATGTCCCTCTGTGTGTTCCCTCGCTATGTGTTTTGCCCCATTTCCACCTGATGATGAGCGCTTGTGTTGCGTTGGAAACGTCGTGATTTATTTTAATTGAACGTGATTTATTAAAAGTTTATTTTATTTCTACATATGTGACTTTACCGAAAGAACCAATGAGAGCAGTGACACCTTGCAGCAATAATGAGGTTAAAATCAGGTTAACACGTCCCATAAAAAAAAAAAATGAAGGCCTCATCCCCTTCTTGAAAGTAATGATACATTTTGGAATTCTGAAAAAAAAAATTGCAGTGGAAATTTAACCAACGCCATTGCACAACCAAACACAGCTTCTGCATTTTGACCGAAAAATTTCCGCGAGTCTGCTCACCACAGGATATTGACAAACAATATCTGAAAAAAGTAATAGTCATGTAACAGTTCTTCAGTTCATGAATTCAATCCGTGATCTTTACACTCTGAATACATGCATAGATTTATTCATGTATGACATCATTATTTTTCACGTATCAAAAATTACAGTGGACGCAAATAATATATGTAAAGCAGTGGAGCCCACAAGCCAAACACAAACCAGATACAAAAACAAAAACAAATTGATTCTTAAATCAAATCGCAACGCCGAATAATGGAAATTCATAAAAAAAATTAACTTAAAATAAAAATAATAACATAAGCAAATAAGACAGAATGTGAATCCTTGAAGTTTGAAGCACATGAATGTCTTGCCTGCATTTTAAAAACATAAACAAATCGAACACTAATACATTATATACATAAGTATATGCATAAAAGGTGGCCAGGTGAATCTGATTAGCCACCCATTCTTAAAACAGATTCTCAAATAGTGTCAATGGCGAGTTTGGACCGCAATGGTTACACCAAAAACGATCCCATTAAATGTGAGTTTGTGTACATTGCACGAGTATGAAACCAAAATGTAATAATCAGCGCTTGAATTTTGCCAAATTAATATTTTGACAAGTTGTCAAAATTCGTAGCCCTGTGAACGTGACCCCCCCCCCCCCCCCCGCCATGCAGTTACACTGATTTCACACTCAACAGCTACGCCAACAGCTACATATTTTTTAAAAGATACATCATACATTAAGAGCGTGACACTTTCTGTAATGCCGTCACTATGTAACTTTGACATTGTCTGAGTGAATGTGCACACATGAAGTGTATCCATTAAATCGTTTTTCAACTGGCATGGACATTATTGTTTTCAGAAACCGCCTTGCTTCGATTCATATTCAATCAACATTCTTTGAACGAAAAAATAACAAAAATTCAACACTTTTGTGCACCCACTTACATCCTTCTGCTGCCTCTCCAATTCTCGCAGGCGAATCTCTCTTGCCTCCGCTCGTGCAGCCCTCTTCGACGCGAGCTTGGCCTCCGCCTGACAAGTGAAAATCACATGACATACACGTCTGTAAGCACAAATGTTGCAACGTCGACTGCTTTCCCCAAGCCACGTAATGGGTTGAAGATGCTGCTGCACCGACACATTTTAACACAAAATGAATTTGTGCAGTTTTTGTGACTGGTGACCTACTCGGGTGTGACCCAGAGATTTAGTGTGGATTGTTTCACTGAAAACTATCAACGCTACATTTAGCTGTAGGTTAGACCTTTGGAATACTTGGATTGACTTGCTTTTGTTCACAATGTCAAATTTAAATTGAAACCATCGCAGGTGAGTTATATACCCATGCTGTCCCGAATGCAATTACCTTCTCAAGGCCATCCTATAAAACAAACTGATATTGCAGTTTATAGCAGCAAAGATTTGTAACGTCTATTAAGTAGCTTTTTATATTCTGCCTACTCTGCTGCTCAACTTGATTTTGCATGCTCAGCTAAAATGTATGCAGACCAGACAATAGGCCAATATGAAATAAATTTTGCACATTTTATATTTATATGCATGTCACGTGGATTATTCATATCAACTTCAAGCACAACATCGTTTGTAAATGTAAGCTCTTGTTCCAAGCTACAAAGTTTCATATTCGACAAGCTGTTTTCCAATATTTGGTTTTTATTACTTTGTACGTGTATTATATAAAGTATCCAGCCTGATAATCGCCAGATATATGCGAGGATATGACTACAGAAGACAACAAATCTATGGCAGCCACTTTTTGATTTTGTTTTCAACAAAATCCTAAATAGCTCCAATCAGATGACATAGGCATTTTCCCACTTAGAAATAGTGGGCCTTTGCATGTTAAGCTTATTATATTACAGAACAAAGTAATTTTTCATGTTAATAAAAGTGCACTGAGTTGAAGGCAGACTAGTAATTGTAATATTTTAAACATTTGTGAGGACTTTGCACGTAGTATTTTATATCTGCTTCAATCATTAAAGGGTAATTGAACAGTGAGCACGTGGACATTTTAACTTTGTGATGGAAAATTACATCATCAATAATAAAATGATAACAACTCAATGTAATTTCGATTAGCCAAACAAACACGAAGACAGGAAGTAGAGACAAATATCTGGCAATAAGTCAGCTTTTCAAAATGCATTGGGTTTATTTTAAATTAACGACTGTATTGGCAAATCATGAATTTAAATACCTCTTTCAATGAAAAACATATATTTAAACATCCTTAGAGTAAAGTCTATCAGCAGGACTTCAAGATGTTGGGACACTATATTCAGCTGAACGTATATTCCACACACACACACAAAGGATGTTATGTTTGGCACTATTTCCATGCATTCAGCACGAGCCTAATGAACAAAAACTGGGTGTGGTTGTGATATTCTTTTCACCATCCTGACTTAACCTGCAATTATTTAATTACTGCAGAATATGTTCTCGTTCAAAACACAGGAAGACAACTTCGAAGCCATTCATTGGTCATGCTTTGAAAATCCTGTTACATTTTATGCTCTTTAAAAAACGAAATGTATTTCTGAGATGAAAATAAGACATGTGAAGTTAAACATTTCACTAATTTCCAGTCATGTATTTTAAAAGATTTGCCTTCACTAAAACATGACCATGAAGAACAGAATATAAAGGCACTTTGTAAAAAAATAATAGGACAAAGTGTCTCCACCCATCCCCTGGCCTTGCCAAATCTTGTATTGTGCCTTGGTTCGATATATGAGCGCATATTCAAAATCAATTTCAAACAAACCTACTGATATTAATTATAATAGATCGTGTCTGCCCTTGGCACTCCCCACAACCTGATTATGCCAGAGGATGGATAGAAAGTACCATGATTTTCAAGGATATGCAAAGTCAAAATATACAGAACACTTACGTATGATGAAACATTTGGCCTATAGTTTAATATGGTTATCTAAACACAATGCTTTTATAGTCAAATTTACGTGGCTAAAAGTCTGAAATACTTTTCAACAATATTGTATGACTAAAGAAGTGTGTTTACATGATACTTATCATTTATACATCTATCTTACATTCATAAAAGGGTTACTGATGAGCTACAAGAAATTGTTCCTCAAAAATATGTTTTGTGAAAATTCACGAAAACAAAACAGGCTTGCAATGCATGAGTTAAGAGTCCACAAATCTCTCGCCACTGGAGGCAATGTTCATTTCAAATGATTGGGTGGGTTCCCGCCTATGCCAGAAACACTATCAACACTCTGCACCGTGAACTTAGAGTGAGACAGAGTGAGGTTGAGAGTAGGTGTAGACTTCTCGGTTCTCTGGACACTTTTGGAAAGTGCTTAGGGAAGTACCATTTGAGCTTTTAAATGAATGCCGTTTAGGGGAACATACACTGGGATATAGATGGTGTTGACCTACATAAACATATAGCCAGTGTAAGTACAAAGCCACATTGCTTAGTTTGCTCCTCTTATACTATACATCATTACATTGTTTAATGAAGTAATTTACAGCAAATAATATGGTGATAACGCGTTGGCAGTGATGAACAACGCCAATTAATAACGCGACATATTTGTCAATAACGCTGTGGCCATAAACGGAAAAAAATATCGATTACATTTCGAACAATGACACTTTCTTGACGTGACGAACGTGTTGACTTGACAAAAGTGCCGAGTTTTTTTTCAATTGTGTAAACCAAATTCACTTTAAAGAGCTACACACGCAATACCTAAGGCGTGCAGATGGAGCTATAAGGTGCTGGACGGGCACGCTGTGGGGTTCTATATAGTGGCACAAAACACTGCCACTGCACACTGTACTTTGGCTTGTTTGTAAGACCAGAAGGGTTTGGCCCCATTATGTCAGCAACTGAGTCAGTGGCTTGGAAGCAACTCACTGTGAATAACAGCATGCCCTACGGTGCATACGCCAATTTACTTGACGTCTTCATATTAGACCATTTCTTGAATAGCATATATTTTTTTCAGTTAAGCATGTAAACAATTTGATCGCTACATACTTTATAACATGCAATACGTTTAACTTTTTGATAATTTCACTATTTTAATTGTTAAAATACATTTTAAATCTTGACTTATATTATCCACATACTAAATATCCTTACCTCCATAAGAGTATGAATCCTCACCTCCATAAATGAGTATCCGGAATGTAAAATGTTTGAGCCTAACTATTAAGATTCAACAGTTACACAAATATCTAGTGAAGAATATGATCGTACAAAGCCGACAGGTTTCCAGTGATATCTTCTGCATGTACTCACAATCGACCGTGCAAACAGGACACGAGTAGTAACGTCTCTGCAAGTATGTGCAGCACCAACACTGAATAAACGCAGCTTAGCAGCTTGCAATCCCTTACACGAGACATCTTGCTAATCTCAGGATTTTCGAAGCACGCTAAAATCATTACGCTGTTCTACGGCCACCTAGAATTAACTCCATGTTACAACGAATGAGGACGTTTAATCATTCCTACAACGCTTAAGCTCTGTTAATACCAGACATATCGATGTGTCACACTGGACGGGGCCTTGCAATAGCAATATAAACAAAAGCAATGTAAAAGAATGCGGGCGAAGTGATGTTAATTAAGTACAGAATGTAAATGACGTCTCAAGTCATTGTTTTCCCATTCAAAGGATCAATGGAACAGCACTCATGTTCACTGACAGCTCTGGGCTCGTGATCTAAATGCCACATTACCAAGGAAGGGTTAGCCTCTCACAGTATGAACAGTGCTGTCTCATCGCTAGCCATGTTCTGGTCACGACTGGAAGGACTCTCTCCATCTTCTTGGTTCTTTTATTGTGTTTTATTTTATTATTTTATTACTTCCCTTCTACGTGACTTTACCGAAAGAACCAAGAAGATGAATCCCTGCAGTCACGAAAGCTTTAAATCGAGACTCTCTCCATGTCATCACTATCCTGCGATGCCACAAAACATTGTCTTACTCGTGCGCTTGATCCAATATCGTTGCTTAATGTCTGTGGCAGTTGTCTCTCTCTCTTGGGCATATTTACTCCTTTCGCTGGCATTTTGTTACAAGTCTCGTCCATCCGCTGATATCCCTTCTCGCGACGTGTCCTGCCCAAGCTCACTTAATTTTCTTCACGGCCAACGTGATGTTTCTCATTTGCTCTCTCATCGATATGTTCCTTTGCGCATTCTTAAGCTTTAGTTCCACGTTTGTAGTCGAAGTTGACGTCTCGAATTTCATGACAGGTAATAAGCACCGGTCAAAAATCTCCTTTTGTCAGACAAGAACATTTACATACTCTTTGGTTCTTTCGGTAAAGTCACGTGGGCTTTCCCACCTGATGACGGACGCTTGTGTTGCTCCCGAAACGTCGTGATTTATACCAACGAGTATGGATTCCTGCAGTCACGAAAGCTTCAAATCAAGCACATTTACGTTTTAAAATAAAAAATAAACCACTGTAAAAGTATTAAGTCAAATGTAACTAAAATGACACTTGTTTTTTTAAATAGTAAATGATAAATTAATGAAAAATGTTACTTGTTATGACGTTCACATGTGAAACACCACAGGTATCTTGTATGTTTTTGTCACGTGCTTTATTTTGGACAGAAAGAGCCAAATTGTGTTTAGTGAAGCCAGATATGAGCTATTGTCTGGGCAAGGTCATCACCTACAAAGAGCTATCAAAGCTACACCTCCACATCCAGTCAATGCACTGTATTCATTTGAAATTAATAGTGTGGCAGCTGAAGCGATTTACTTAACAACAGACCATGTGCTCTCCCTCAGATCATGCTTACTGGCTGGTCAAAAGGCAGTGCACAGCTGCAAGGGTTCAGTACTACAGCAAAAAAAAAGAACCAAGCTTGCAGAGGATAAACATGCACTAAATATAGCTCCCATTCCTAACGAGTCTCCTCAACACCCAGCCAACCCTCCCATCTTGCTGCTTCCCTGCAGCCAAAAGATAAGGTCGTCTTACCTTCTTTATTTATATTAGGTCTTAA